CGGCGCCGTGCCGGCTGCGCGCCGCCGGTGCCCGGGCTGGAGCGGCCCAAGGAAATGCCGCGCCCCTCGGAAGGCGCTTAAACCACCCGCGGCCCCGGGAAACAGTGGCGCTGGTAATCAAGATCCCGTGTTGGTCACGCTTGATGAACTTGGCATTTCACCCCAGCCAGGGCCAGCTGTTGCCCGCAGCCCTGGCCAACGATGAAAAACGGCTCACTGCGCGCGCTAAAGAAATACCGGTTTTCCACATTCCTTGCAATAAACAAAGTGTAATTGCGTTCGCCGCTTTGTCCGCGTAGAGTCTGTTTGCTGAAGGAAAGTGCCGTTCGGGCGCCGCCGCTCCCAGCACAGCAGCGCAGGGGAGGGGCAACGCTGGAAGAGGGCGCCCCGGTGAGCGGGACGCGGCCGCCCGCCGCTCCGCACTGGCTGCCGGCGCGCCTCCTCCGGTCTGCCGCCACCACGGGCCCGGCACTGCCCTTCCTTTTTGGCACCTCCTCCGCCGGCAATGCTACCAGAGCTCCCTTTTTGGGGGGAAAGCTGGAATTTCCTTATGCGATGTGTTTCAGGCAAAACCGTTCTCTTGCGGATTGGTGTTCCTTTATCTCTGGGCTGCCCCTGTTTTGCCACAGAAATGAAAACGCAATAAATCAGTAGCAGAATTGCTAGTGCCTCCACAAAGGGCAAGACACTTTCACTGCTTCATTAAAGGGTGTAAGACAAGGAGCCACGATTACTGTGTCCAATGCTGCCCTCTTGCGAGAGAATTTCTTTTATCCTTTATCGCATTCACAGATAACGAGGACACCAAAAATTAATCGAAGGACTGACATACACACAGCGAAGAACAAGACTCAGCCGTTAGTGGGCTCAGACGCTCCTGCACCCTCTGGTCCCGCAGACCTGCCGGTGACATTAGACCATCAGCTTGCGTTAAAAACAAAAAAATGAAAAGAGCCCACAAGTCTTAGAGCTCAGAGGCACTGAAAGCAGACTGTAATCAGCCCCCAGAGAAGAATACCCAGTGAAGCTCCTCGAGCCTGCGAAGGACAGCAGTCCCTGGGGAGAGGCATTGCCTGCGTATCGCAGGGCGTGCTGGTGCCGAGTGCCTCTGCAGCGGGCAGCTGACACTGCCCAGTGCGCGGCAGGAGCCGTTTTACTGAGATCCCTGGTTGGGGGCAGAGGGGTGGGACGCAGTTTCACTATGGGGCATCACATCAAATCGCCCAGCTCCCTTTTTAGCCAATACATTTCTGTTATTACAACAACAAAACAGCAGAGTAGGGGCAAGAGAAAAACTGGTGGGAGGAGGCGCAAGCTAACTAAACCTTTACTCTAGGCATTTAATCCCAAAAGGGAAACGTGCAGAGCTTCCATGAGTTCAAACAGGGACTTCTCTAGTAGCAACAAATCCTTATGTAGGAGTCTCTCAGATACTATGGAGACATGCAGGATTGAATTCCAGAGTGAACACAGGAAAATGAAGGAGACAGAGAGGACATCACAGGAGCCAGCGAGTGACCAAGATAAACCAGCTGGAAGTTTTTATAAATACACATGAATGGTGAAGCCTGGAGACCTGGAATGAGGAGCAAATGCTAAAAACTGGTTATAATTTGGCCATTCAGAGCCGGAGCACAGCAGAATTTAAGAGAACCCAGGAGTATGTCTTGCAGACAGACCTTATCCCTGGAACGATGACCCAGCCCTGCTTACTCTCAAAGCCACTGCTAAACCACTGGGATATACCTGGCCCTTCAACACGGGGCGTAGGAATGACGACAGGGGTCAAGTTTCCCCAAGTCGCTTCCGTGTGTTCTATTCGGTCGATCATTATTTCCACAGTGATTTATCCTGTGGCAAAATGATGCCCTAAGAAGAAAGCAGCTGGGTAACGGTATTTCCACTTCAGGGTGCTCGAAAGTCATAATTCAGGTACAACTACAGGATTTTATTAAAATAGTGCATTCTAAATAAATTTATTTGCTTTATAGTTTCTGAGCACTAGCTTTCTTCCCCCCCCCCCTCGCCGATTTTTCTTCATAGCTATGCAGACTAGCCACTTTTGCTTTACTGCTGTTTGAAATGCTGACACAAATATAAGACTGAGGTAAACTGGAAAGAGAAACTCCCCACATGTCAAGATCTGACAAAGGGGAGGGTGAAACTGCAGTTTGGCACTGTGGAAGGGAAATGATTCCTCCTCAAAAAATGGGAATGTTGTCTGGCTGTGGAACATTTTCTCTTGTAGAGAGTTCAATTGTGAATAAGTAAGCGCCCTATTGCTGACAAGAGAAAGGTGTCATTTTAAAGGGACTTTTGTGTCAGCTCTCAACCCATAGGAAGCTTAACCGCACTTAGGAAGCTTAATTTACGTGTAGCTGCTGCATTTTAATTCTGTGGAGTAAATGCTGGTGTCCAAAACTGGCTAAGGCAGATTTTTGCACCTTGTTGAATTGCGGTCTCCTGTTTGAGCATGTCTTAGCACAATGCTCGCGTTCCCGTGCTTCTGAATGGCATCCTCTTCCCCAGAAGTGACTGTTGACCCTACTTCCAGGCTCATCCTTGCCTACCCTTTCCCTTGAGAAGCCATCTTCACCAAGTTCCGTTTGCCAGCAGCTAGAACTAATGATTATTTACACAGCAACTCCACTAAAGGAGAGCAGAAATTCACAGATAGGAAAATTAAATGTTGCCAAACGACCCTCCCACAGATAAATGGCTTTAATGAAAATCCTCAATAGGCTCTGCCTATGAAAACATATTTCATTCAAGTCTCTTGCAATGGAAAGATGGATGCTATGGAAACTGCTGCTCAGACTTATGCCTGCACTGGCTTAGTCTATGAGGCAAAGAGAAATTACAAAGGGCTGTGCCAGGGCACAGTGGTGGGGCTTTAAGTGTCTGCTTCCCGAAGTTCCCAAGCATTCAGTATTTTCCTTTATTTGGTTTTTCAAAATGCTGGCTGAGTGCAGTCCCCTGCTGCTGCTCTTTCCCCATATGGACAACATTTGTCTTTTGTTTACTCAGCCAGCTGCCATGTGTGCTCTCCCCAAACCCCTTATTCTCTTTGTTTATATCTAGATTATACCACACACGATAGTATCATCTGAGTAGCCGCATCCTGCTGATTCCAGACCCTGCGTACAGACAAACCACTTCAGACCAGCCCATACAGTTTCACCACGGTCTCTGCTCATGGAGGGGATGCTTCCCCTGCAAGCTGTTCTTCATGGGAGTCCTCCAGCCTCGGCTTGCCCCGAGTAACGAACAAACGTTGCCAGTGTCATTGCGCATTAGTGGCTCCTGGCTTTTGCCAGAGGTTGAGCCTGCTGAGACACCCTGCTGCCCGAACACAGCTTTGCATGCCCGTGAAGTGGGATGGTGGCATTAAAACACGAGAGCAGTGTTTCAGGAACTCTCCAAGGGGACCTGCTGGAGGCACACTGGGCCATGGTCTGTCACAACACGAGCCGGGTCCCTGGGCAGGTCCGTGCTTGTCCCTAACTTCGTGTCTGTGTAGAGTCGTTGGGAGACTGCTCCAGGTCTGTGCATGACTTTTAGGGGACCTCAGGAACACGCCCACTTCTGAAGTTCCTTTGACCCTCTTCTGGTCTCCAGCACTGTGCTGTAGTGCAGGCGTTGCTCTGACACCTTCCCCCCCATCGCAGCAGGACAATCAGCTGCACCTGGCTGGTGAGGTGAGAAGGCAGAAGCTGCAGTGCTGTGCTGTCAATGCAGGAAACATCACTGGTTCTGTGAAATAAAACTACTCCCTTTGAGTTCCCAGGCCCCTATTCCTCCTTCTGTGACTGAAGAGGGATTTGTAACCATGGCAAACATTTCCATGTAATGTACTGAAAATGAAAACATGTTTTTTAGTATTTAAACACTCTCTCTTTTATGCTAAAAGATCAAAGTTGTGCACTTCAGCACACAGGTTGTATTGCCCCGCGATTCAGTAACAGCGTAGGTAAGGTCAGTACACCCCAGCTCTGACATTTCCAAGTAACTGGAGTTGTCCCACCTGATCTGCCAACTCCTGTGCAGAGTGGGTGCTCACATGCCTAATCCTACGAAGTTCACCTTTTTCCACTTGCACCTCACCATATCTTGTAGGTATACCTGCATGTTCTGGCCACATGCGGGAGTGGCAATGCCCGTGCTCCGCCACCAGCTCTCCCTCAGCCACAAAGCACTGGAAGTCTATCCAAGAGAAGAAAAGATGTTTGCGATGGATACTTCTCAAAGATTGCTGCCAGCCACTGGAAAACAAACGTCCCTCTCCAAGGGCTTCTCAGAGGAGGACGTGGGAGAGACTTGCTAAGGAGAATGCAATCCCCTTTACACTTCTGGTTTGTACAAGTGGCAATTGCTGCAGTTCCCTGTGGAATGGCTTTCTTGGAGTCCACTGAAATACCAGCCACAGTCATTTACCAATAAAACCACATGCAAATGATGTCATCATGTAATAGAAGGCGGCTGGTACTCTTTCTGACAGGGATAAAAAATAAGTTTTTCTCTTTGGAGAGAACATAAAAAAATAACGAGAATGCATGGCCATCTGGGGAAAGTAATACGATAGACCTAGAGCTGGAGTGTTTGCAAGGAAGTCCACGACTGTTCTCAGTGAGAAACAAAGGCTGCCTCCAGCTGGGAGCCGAGAGCTGCCGGGCTGCAGGAAAGGGCATATGCAGGTATACGCTACTGGTAGCGTACGTCAGTCCGCAGCGTGAATGTGCACATCAACACTCACAAAATGCTCTGGCCTGAACCTGATCTATCTCTGCATATTAACTATGCAATACAAAAATGTTCAAGGTCAGGCATTAAGACAAGTCCCCTCTTGGTTTTGCAGTGCTGACCTGACTTCTTCCCACACTTCCTGATCTGGAAGCACGTCTCTGAAAGTAACGGGATTTCCTCGCATCCCTGCAATACAGTGGCAGTACCTCAGTGACAATGACAGGAGAAGCTAAGGCATCCACCCCAGCTGCCTGCTGACTGACACTGATGGTCACCAGGCGGTAGGTAATCACGAGAGCATGACTAAGCTGAGGCAGGCACCTATAAAACCTTTGCTGGGGGGCTGCACCACCCATGTCTTCAAATACAGCGAATCAGCTGCTTTAGAAGCGTACCAGGAAAGGTCCCTCACCAAAGAGTTAACGCCAGGAAGACTGCAGTGATTTACATGGTTTGAAATCACCTCATTCTTAGCAGATCAAAGGTTTGGAGGGTAGAGACTGCAGGCCAGTAAGAGCCTGCTTTGTCATGACCGCAGATATGGTTTGTGCGTTCCATCAGCATGGCCAGAGGCTGCAGTTACACAACCGGGAGACAGGCGTCAATGGAACCTTCTGAGACCACAAAAAAAGTCAAATTCTGTTTAGTTTCATCTGGTCACCAATACTTCCCCTAAGCACAAGGGCACCTTTCACGTAGGGGCAGAGGGAAGATTTAAGTCAGCAAGTTCCAACTGGCATCGGTATGGGGAAAATATATCATACCTTCAGCACCTGGTTCTTCCACAGTGGAGGGATGAGACTGGGTGATCCTTGAAGCTCCTTCCAACCCTATGTGTCCTTTTGCCACCAACTACAAGAAGACAGACAGCAAGCAAATATTGACGCTCCCACCACCTGACAGGAAAAGGAAAAGCAAGTTCCAATCATCATTTGTAACACGAAGACTACATTCTGACACAAAAAGAGGAGGAAGTTCTCAGTGAGCCCTCATTTCCACAGGGAAGCTGAGGACGGCTGCTGTACGTTAGTGATACTTCACCACAGAATGCAGATTTACGCATGACTTCTTTGCTTCTCGGCAGCAGGCTGGAGGAAGGGACTCGCAACCAGCTGGGTGTCAGGACAGAGCGCGGTGTGCTAGCAAATTCCCCAACATCACCCTAGACCAAGAGACTAAAGTACTGAGAGAACTCATGCTTTAATAGACACTGAAATCACAAAGAAAGAAGGCCAAATGCCTTAGCAATTTCAATAAAAATATGAAAATCTTTTTACATGGTAAATTTCATAATATAAAAAGTTTAATGCTGTCTGGAAACAGAGTTTTAATTTACAAAGAAAGTCCATATAGGCCAAACATGGCTAACACTGCATACAAGGAGAGCAAGTGCTAAAGGGCTGCTGCTTGGAAGAGTCTTTGCTGACAGTCCTCTCTGAGTTACCATCTTCAACGCTCTTTTGAAGGAGTTCTGCAACCGAGGGGCCAAGTTTTCCACACACATTTGCAGCCTTTCTGGACAGCGTGGCAATGCGATGAACCTGAAACTGCTCAAACCCATAATTACCACCTAGCCTGAAACTACTAGTGTTTCTTAACAGATTCACAGATATTTCTGTGCACCTGGATCTATTCTGCAACTTGAAAGAGATGTTCACAGAACAAGTTTGACCTATTGAAAAGAAATACGGCCTACAGTGATATACGTGAGTGTAGCATCCCTTCAATGCTTTTTCCTTGTTTAAGTAAGGTATGATTAAAAAGAAGGAAAATCAGTACCAGGCCAGAGTACAGGCTAACCAACAAAATCAAATTAAACTGGATTTTGATCAGAGAGATTGTTTACTGTTCCCATTTAGTTGGAGCTAAAGACAGTCAATAAAAAAATCTGTAATCTCACACAGTAAAACATACAGGGCAAAACCAAACTAAAATACATTCTATGGCCTTGGGGAATGGTTGCATGTGGCAGGTTTAATGTGAAAGTGGATAATACCTAATTCTTATTGCTCACTGTATTAAGCAGTGTTGTCACTTGTACCATGCACAAATACAACAACGACAAATGCATTTAAACTCCACAGAAGGAATTCTAATATCAAACGGAGAACATGTTCTTTTCATTTCCTGAATATCTCCACATATTGGGCAAACCTGATAAAACTTTTCCTCACAAAGGGGTTGTTTCTCATTCAGGGGGTGGAGGAGTGAGGCACAAGGTGTGTGAAGTGTCTCCCAGCCATGAGCAAGCATGCATCTTCATGGCTCTCATTAAGCCAATGGAAGTGCCCTGTGTCAAGTCAATGGAAACACATTTCCCAAAGGACTTGTTCTAGTGACACTCACCTTCCATATTTATACAACACCGATTTCCCAAATACTGAACTTCCTCTACATCTGACCCCTTCCCTGTTTCTAATGCTCCTCCCTCCCTTAAAAAAACAACTGAAGGACCACCCCCCCCACCCCAACTCAGCTCTTTCTGAAAACTTTATGCCAGTATGAAACCTACTGGCAGCATGAAAATGGGTTGTACCAAAACGGCAATACATAATTTCTACAGATTAAAAAGAGCCTTTAGTTATGGAAGTAAACTACAAGTAAAGAGGCTTAGTTCTGGCATGTTATGCAGCACTACAGGGAGTATTTGCTGTTGCTATAAACAAAAAGCTGCCCACTTCCATCCTGGATGTTCCTGGGACGTCGTTTTAACAGTTATGCTGGTTAGAAACAGATTAGGTCACATGAAGTCTCTCAGCAGTTTTGTGACCACAGCAAGTTGCATGACGAGCAATATCACCGTCTACATGATGGGTAGACGCTGTACTGACTCATTTTGCCCCACTATTCTAATTTTTCCTGCCAAATGACGAGAAGATGATATCTAGCACCAAACCATCACAGAAAGATGTAATGTACAGACAAGTAACTTGCATCATACGAGTTGAACGGATTTACTCAACTGTCTTGCTACATTGCATAATATAAGCAGATGAATAACTACTCTTTTTGTCTTTCTGCACTGAAACTTTTGTGATCGCCCATCTCTTGTTAGCTGACTGTAACAACACAGCCCTCTATTCTTTGCCTTTAGTGCTTGTGTTGATTTCTTGCAATGGCAAAAAGGAAAACATTCTCCAGAAACCAGTGGATTCTAGAATATCCTCAAAGCAAGCATTTGATATATGCACCATGAGTTAGCTGAGCTTAAGTAATTTTATATTCTGGTATCAGAATTGCATCCTCTGTCCTGCTATCATGCTTTTCCTCCAAGATCCCTAAAAAAATCACAATTATCAGATCCATATTTCAAGAGCGTCCAGACATGATAAGTGCAACAATTATCTGCATCAGCAATGTGCCCCTAATGCGTTTGCAGAGCTGACTGCACTCACCATTCAGGCAGTCAGTTGCAAGACTGGAAGTTGACTTAAGATCCAGCTAAAACTCACGGCCTAATTAATTAAGCCTCACAACACCTCTGTGAGGTAGGTAGGTAAGTATTACTATCCCCATTTAGATAGAAAGGGAAGACGAGGCACGGAGAGGTGAAGTGATTAGCCTTCAGTCACTCAGCAAATTTGGGGAGTGCAGAATAGAACCCAAAAGCCTTGGCGATCCAGTGCTCCGACTTCATAGCACACGGCCTGTGAAACACTTCGCTCGGACCTCAGTGTGCAGTGTGGCTGAGTTAATGCTACCACATGCCCACAGTTTTCAGTGCATGTAAATTGTCATTTTGAATCTGATTCCATCACTGCATTCAATAGCCGCTTAAATATCTCCAACTTGATCCACGACACCTAAACACCATCTAGCCTAGGAAAGCTTGCTTTACACATCACCCCTGGGGTTCTCTTGGTTTTCTTTTCCCCGCAGATCAGAGGGCGCACAGGTTCTGCCTACAGCCGCTCTGCTTGCTGCCTCACGCACGTGCTCTGACTGCACTGACATCTGCTTAGACTGGCGTACTTGCTCCGAAAGAAGCTTGCTTCCACAGCAGAGGAAAGGTTTGCAGACCTGCCCGTGATGAGCTATGTGGAATGATTTAGCAGGATCGTTGCGGTGATTTCTAAATCTCATACACTGATGTCACATTCCTGCCTACTGTGGAACTGTAAAATAATGTTCTGAGTTTCAGTGTGTGTAACCCTTTTTTGTGCGCACTTAGCTGACAGAAAACGTCTGTGCTGCCCAAATACTTGACAAGATGAAAATTTCACCATCATAACACCGTGTGCCAGAAAGATGAGAGCATTCAGTAAAACCAGACCTCATCTCTGACACATGCTCACTACCTCCCGCTGAGGCTCACCTTTGCCTGTTACGCCCCAAACATTCTTTTTGAGCAGACCAACCAGCAAAATATCACCTGAAAGGTATCTCTCCAGAAAAGAGTTACCTGAGACGCAGGTTTTAGGGCACCTCTGTCCTCCTGTCTTTGTTTCACCAGCCTCTAAATGATGCAAGAGAACTGCCAGTATCATGCTGCTACGGAGTTTATTGCCAGCAATTTTTTGTGTTTGGCTAACTTGGCAGAGATACCTAGAGGTATGTTATCTTGTCCTCTCTGTCAGCCTTTGAAAGAAATCAAATAAATGGCTTGTACTACCCCAAGCAGAAACTTGTGCATACTTTCTTTGTGGTACACATGAAAGTTCTGCCTCCTCTCGCTTCCCTCTCCAATCCCTGATATGTATAATTTCTGTATAAAAAGCCAGCTGTAAAACCTCCTGTTAGGTTAAGAAATACAAGTAGGCGGCTTAAAAGCTAGAATTTTATGAACAGACAACTAGATTCATTGGACGTGTTGCTGCAAATACTGAACACTACATAGAACCTGTTATCAAGTGAGTGTGGCCAAGGTCCTGATAAGGGAAAGGAAAACCCATCTGTGTAAGGCCCGTGTTCCTACACAGTGACAGACAGGGCCGATCTGTCACGTTCCTGTGCATTGCCAACTGTGGGTATGACCACGGCTTCTTAGATAATGGTTCTGTATTGATAAAGGCAAGTGGGCAGAAGCAAATACTTTAACAAGATTGTAAGTCATCAGCTGGTACTCAAGACATTTCAGCATTTGGAGGAAGGAAAAAATCTTCCTGGTGACAAAAATTTATAACCGTTCCCAGATGGCAGCCTCAAGGGACGCACGGTTCCTGGAGTGCTAGTGGAAGGTGGAGAATGAGTTGATGTCACTGCATTTGTAGTTTCAGGGTGCCTGTGTCCATTTGGAGGGTTCTTTTGTGGAGAAGCAAGGTGTTGCTCAATAGACAGCTCCTTTAGTTCCAGCTTATCTGCACTTTCTTCTTTGCTGTGCCGTGGAGATAAATTGAGCAAGCTAAGGACATCTTTCTTAGAAGTCATTGTTCCAGGAGCTCCTCGGAGAATCTTTATGGGACCAGTGGAGTGATGGGGAGTGCTTTGCCAGAACATCTTTAAGTTGTGAATTGCTTGCACTTTTTCATCAATGGCAGCCATTTTTAATTTGTCTATGTCTGGGGCATCAGCTGGACTTGAGCGAGCAGAACCAGCTGAGGAATAAGAAAGAGCAGGAGATGGAGTGCTACCACCAGGAGACTGATGCCCTGAGCTTGGAGAGATATTTCTGGGTGATTTAGAAATATGAGCACTGTAGGGAGAGCTGGGGTACTTGAGTTTAAAGTGAGGCTGCTCTGTTAAGGACCCATGCGAATCACAACTTGGAGATGGCTGCCCACTGTATTGGCCTGTGCCTTCTTTGTTTGACATCTCTGATGTTGTAGGGCTATTATAGCCAGAACTCACTTTCTGAAGGGATGAACTCCTTGTTGGAGGCTTTGGTTTAATTGCAAGAGGTGAAGACTGATTCTTCTGACTAGAGCTGACTGGCCGACTGAATGCACTGGTCTCTGAAGATCTGAATGCGGACACACCTGCTGGGGTGGAAGCCCCATCATCTGAATTGTTGCTCTTACTTATTTGGCTGCTGCTTCTCTGAAGACGTTCAACAGCAATGAGGTGACTCTGAGTTTCCTCCAGAATTTTTTGGGCCAACTCTTGCGGATCAAGCTTTGGATTACTGTCCTCCTGCGATTTGACAGTGCTGTCAGTCTCAGTGCTAGACTGGTCAGACTCCCCAGTATCAGAACTTGCAAGTTTCCCAACTTTTTGGAAAGGTGAATTTGGACTGGGAATAAGAGTCATTTTAACAGGAGAATTTGGGGTACTTATGCTCCCTTTGGAGTTGACAGACTCTTTAATGCCTCCAGTCTGACCAGTTTTGGGCTGTTTGTGATCAGGGGAAAATCTTGGTTTTATGTTTTCTTGGTAACTGGCCAAAGGCTCATTGCTGATTATAGAAAAACCTTCATACTCTTCCTCATCTTTGCTGGCTACAGTGCTGGTTTGTGGTGACAACTGGCTCTGTGCTGCAGACCGATGTGGATAGATGTTCTTGGGCCTCTCGTAGTCCTGGCGTCCCCTGTGTCCCACACCATCTGGCACGCTCTCTGGCTTGGAAACAAAACTCATGGAAGAAGCAATAGAGCTCAGGCTATACACAGAAATGGCATCTGATGCAATGCTGTCTGGACAAGTAGGAGAGAACGGAGGGTTTTGATACTGGGGTACAGGGTTGGAAATAGACTGAGCAGAAGCCAGTGACTCCAGTGATGAGGAACTGTCCAGGCTAAGGCGCTTAGGCAGCTCTGTAGAATCTAAAAAAAGAAAAAAAAAATGTAGAAACATGCCCCTAGATAGACAGTAAAATCAAACAAAACCAGATAAGGTTCTATCAGAATTAAGAGGAAATGCTACAAAACATGCACTCAGACGCTGTGCTACTTCAAAAAACCCAACTGCTACTTAGGTGAATAAAAAAAATGCACACAATCCAGGAAATGCCCAGGCAGGAACCTCAGTCCAGGTATCCTAGATGAAACTTGTCAATTCATTATCATTTTATATCTCAAAAACAAGAGTGAGTTATACATCCTCCAGCTGCTGGACTCTATTCCCAGCTTTGGCCTCAGCCAAGTCTTAGTGTTTGTTTCCCATATAAAAATAACATTTGCTGCACTTGTATGATGTATGGTCTGTATGACAGGTGTGTATGATCTCTGCAAAAGGTAAGAGTGTGAGATTTTAATAGAAGCCATTCTGATCAAGTCATCACAGGAGCAAAAACTACTGTAAGTAGCTTTACCAAAAAGTGCCAGCAAGGATTGTAGAGCAAAGTGCATGGTCCTCCTATTAGCTTGTTTCCCAGTTTTCAGAATCACCTCCTCTTGGCCAACTTCACAAAGGTCAAAACCTGTAGTGGAACACGGAGCAGAAAATCACACAATAGAACAACGAGAGATGAGATTCTGCAACGTCCTGGCATGATGACTCTTCACCTACAATGTACAGTTTGTTGGTTTGTTTTTATTACTATTTAGCACGCCTTCTCCAGCAGGTTGGTGAGCTTTATGGTGCTGGACTGTGAGCACATATGCATTAACAAATCACTCCTGTCCAAACTGACAGATAAAATGCACTTGTCAGTACTGTTTTAGTGGCAAATTATTTGGAATTGTGGGGGAATGATATACTAAGCACATCTCAGGGGACGGTGTCCCACATGCCCCTACTATTCATCATTAATCCAAAGTTTTCTCACAGAAACAGGTCTGAAGAAGAGCACAGAACTTGGAATTTAGCAAATGACGGCTGGGCTGCAGGAGGCATGACGCTGTGTGAGAAACAATGCCTGGCTTTTCTGAGCTCCTTAAACAGGCTTCTTGGATGTTTCTTTTTGCAGTGTTGCCTCTTCCCTGCAATGTCGTTTTACTAACTCTAAGCAAGGTCCAAGCCAGAATAAAATCTAGTTTGATATTTAGTTCTCATCTGTCTTTTCTGTAGGATGTAGACCCTGGTACATACTATCACCCTGGTATGTCTTACCCTTGCCCTGTGCACAGGTTCCTCTGCCAAAGGAATGATTAGTTCACTGCAGGTAGAATCATTGTATGGTTAGAGCTGGAAGGGACCTTAAAGATCATCTAGTTCCAACTCCCCTGCCGTGGGCAGGGACACCTCCCACTAGACCAGGCTGCTCAAAGCCCCATTCAGCCTGGCCTTGAGCACCTCCAGGGATGGGGCATCTAGAGGGCCAGAAGCAAACGCAAGAGGGGAACAGGATCCTGAAATAAAAACTGGGGTTAAACCAACCTGACAGCATGACGCTGCTGTCAGCCCCGAAATCCATGTTCTGCTGACCCAGGAGATGTTTTGGTGCATAAGAGAAAAATCCCCCTTACCACTGGCCCACTGATGAGCAAAGCGCTCTGTGCATGTGAACTGGCAAAGACACACTGAGCAGTCAGGGACCACATCCAGAGATGCAAAGACAGACAAGCAGATCTAAAGCACCTAGACAAACAAGTCTAAAGCTGTGAGTCTCATCACTACCTCAAGGCACTATATGAGACACTAACAATATTTTTAGAAAGACAACGGAAAGACGTATTTTCCTACCTAGAGCCGCCAGAAACTCATGACAGCCAGGCAGCCTCCAGAGTTGGACACTGATAGAAACCTGGATTGGTGCAGAAGAGAAATCTTGCTCCTTCTCGCCTGCCTGAAGTTGAACCAGGACTTGATGCAGCTGAAGATAACAATACAAACATTAGCCATTCCTTACAAATCACATCACTGCTTCTCCGACAGTCACGGCTAAGGAAATGCACTGCAAACATCCCCTTCCCTGTACACCCATATATTCAGCTGCTGCTCCTGAACAGAACAGTGAGATGAAAAGGTCTGGGCAGAGGGACAGTCCAGGGACAGCAACAGTGGACCAACTTGAACAGCAGCAAAGGTAGGGGCAGAATAGGGGTGAGGGTTGGGTTTTGTGGCCAGTGGAAATTGAGCAAGAAGGAAGCACAGCAGGAAAATCTGTGAAGTGAAAGAAAAGGAATGAGACACTTTGGGGCTGCTCACAGAAATATACTAAAGCCCAGCCCATTCCATGACTGAGCCGTACTCCTTATGCAAATCCCAAGAAACTCATTCCCAGCATTTAACTGGGCAGAACAAGTCATATGAAACCACAGACGACTTTCCTAATACTTCCATGGGGTCCAGGAAAGAAGTTTCTCAACCGTGCTGAAGGGACAGCAGTAGCGAAGTAGAGAAAAAAATATGTTTATGAAAATCTGACACAAATTAAGGTGCCAGGATCCCATGTAATTCAAAAACACAACCAGGGCAGGAAGGATGGAAAGTCATTAACCAGGGACCAGCTACCCTCAGGACCACCCATCTCTTACAACCCACAAAAGCTTACACAGTCTTTTTCCACAGCAGCACTACAGAACAAATTCCAGGCCTGAAAGCGGCGTAAAGACACTACTCTGCAGCGCAGGGAAATGGGTCTGCAGTGACCAAGGCATTTTATCCTGCACAGCAGCGTCATTCCCCAGTGCATGTAATACTCACCATTCCCACCACATTTTTAACAGCCTTCGGGCAGCAGATTACAAGAAAGGAAAAGAAAGGAGAAAAGAAAGAACACGGGTTATTCTGGGCTACAAAATGCCTGTGATGGGGAACCCTGCAGTGACACATCCACATGCAAACCAGCATCCTGACTGCAAGATGCTCTGTTCAGAGAGAGAAGGGAGCAATGGAAATGGCTTGAGCTGCGAATCAGGAGTCCAACAGCGTGGGAACAGGCAGCTGGAATCTGGGAGTGCCCAGCTCATTACAATCAACTCAGACACTTAGCAGGCAGATACTCAGGCCAACCCGCATTCTGGCAGAAGGCTGAACATGAAACAAGCCCTTCTCTTGTTTTCTCTGAGACATGTTATTGGCACTTAATGTGCTCAGCAATCCCTAACTTTTCCTTGCACATGTGGTAGCACTGAAGTTCTCTCTTTTGTGGTTCCTGTCTTCTGTTTTGCACTAAAAATAAGCGCTTTCTATCCAGAGCAAAAGATCAGGTTCCCTGCCTTGCTGCTTCACTAGTGTCAAAAGCACGTGCTCCCTTATGACACCTATCACCCACACGGGGAAGACAGTAAGCAACACCCGTTGACTGAACTGTCAGTCATTACGCTCCAGTTTTGAACAAAGTCTTCTCTCCTTTGGGACAGGCAGAGCCTTAGCTGCTCACCAGCTGAACTGCTGAGAGGAAGGAAGGGGATAAAATCAAGTAACCGCAGAGGAAGGGGGAGCTAAATTGAAAAACCCTAACTTGTAACTGGATAGACTCTTGTGCAAAAGGAAATTCTGCCTGGGGTTTGGGCTATAGAAGAACATTTACAAAAACAATGCAATACCCCTGCCAATATTTATTGCAGGGGGCAGCTGAGGAAATGGCGAGTGCATCTTTTGTTAGTTGTGTACAGCCATTTGAATGTTTTTCCTTGGGTGATTTAATTATCTGAGGCAAGAAGACAATTGTGAAGTAATCTCACGGACACTGTAACACATTCCTATCTATCGGAATGTTGCCTTCTACTCATCACATCCCTTCTGCTCCGGGCCTCCCTCTGGTGGCAATGAGGGAAAAATAACCCTCATTATATCAAAATAAAATCAACTACAGAAGTCTCAGGCACTGACAAAAGAGGCACCGAAAGAAAGCAGAATGCCATAAAGGACAAGCCATTAGAAATACCTCATGCACTACTGTAGACCGTAACAAGAAACCCTTTCCTTGAAGCAGATTCAGTCTAATGGATTGACAAAACAGACGACTTAGTGGGTAACAGCAAAACTGGGGCTGCTATTTTGTGCACAGAGACTCAACGTGACAGAATGAACGGAAGCCCTCTGAAGCTGCACAGAGGTAATCCCAGCTACCCACCACAGCAGTTCCCTAGAACACTTCTGCATGGCAAAAGGGGAAAAGAAAGAGAGCTATATGCCCATTCACTACGTGTGGCGTGTTCATTTACTAAAGCAGGCAAATGATTGACATAAACCTCATAAGAGGAGCCATCAGGACAGTAAGAAACATGTAATGGCAAGCCAGCCAGGCTGGTGGCACAGAGACAGGTTAGGTTAGGTGAGGCATGCTAGAAAGACTGGGGAGAGGGAGGAATGTGAAGGACATTGGAGAGGATGGGGGGAGTCCCATAGCCACAGACGGCACTGCCTTTCTCTTAAAGAGCATGAATCCTTCAGCAGAGCTATGAGCACACACACCAGAGAAGTGCAGGCTCAGTAAGTTTTCTGACAGACCTTGCATTGTCCAAAGTCAACTATACCTTGGGACTTTGATAATGACAGTGGACAAAGACCAGCCAACATGGGCCCCAGACAGGATGGCCAAATAGCAACTAGTGGTTCTGCCACTCATTTCCTGTATTTTGCTTCTCCCTCACTGCAGAAGGTATCCACGTTTTCACTTCTGCCACTGAACAAGGAGACCCAAGGCTATGCAGCCAACTAACATATCTGCATTTTTCTCTTCTGGACACAGACTTTCATTCATACAAACAGGCGAGTTTAGAATTTCAACCCTGAAGTATTCTAGCAAGCTCTGGGTTGATAAGCCAGGGTATAAACCATTCTGTGTATTTCTGCAAATGGTTCTTCCCAGGCCAGTAAATTCAAAGTGGTACTGGAGAAAAACTTCCCAACTCACCCTGTTGATAAGCTGCTCTCCTGTTTCTGAAGCTGTGATAAGTTTACAAAGTGCCTGAAGTGCAGGGTTAGGCAAACCTGAAAAACATGAGCAGAAACAGGGATTGTTCAGTATCTGTTTCTTGACTGCTAGAAATGCAACAACATGAAAAGAACACAAACTCAGCTAATTCTTAAAACCTCTCCCCCACATCATTGAACAGTTCTGGAAGCAGCAGCAATTTCCAGGAAACAAAGAGTTTTCCCACTTTGCATCTGATTATATGTTTTCTGACTATGACCTGGGAGAAACAAATAATAGTCACATCATGCTTCTCAGATCCTGGACCCAGTAGTAAATGATTCCCAACTATGACAAAATTTTCAATATACGTTTACTTCTAGAACCTCTATCCTGTTAAATACTTTTATTTCATTGATGTAAAACATCACCATTTTACGGGCTTGCATCAAAGAAAGGCAGGGAAAGGTTGATGTCTGCTTGGACAGATGAGGACCGAGCCAATCGCTGGCCTGCTTCTTACCCAGGAGGGACTGTATGGTGGTGCTGCACTGCTGTAGCCGGTCCCCAGGATCAGAGGTTGGGAAGAACACTGCTGCTGGGAGGCCACTGGCTGGAGGGTCCAACCGAAATCCTACCGCAGTGAGCAGTGCCTGCCAGCCTGGAATGCCACCAACTTTATTCTCCACGCTTTGTTGGGAGGTATACATGGAGTTGTGCTGCCCATTCTGGATTCGCTGCAATGATTTCTCCACCTTTGGCGAAAATACAACATTAGCTTATTTTGTAAGAGATTTTTACCAACTGCCTCTTTTTACACAGTGAAGAGGCAGGAGCAGCAGGTTGAGAGACAGCAACCCCAATGTTAAACCAGGCTTGTCTTACACAGAAGGATGTTAGTGCCCTTGAAAACAGAGGCCCCAGTAACTCAGCACTCAAAGCTGTAAAATCACTGTGATGAGTGTCAATATTCTCCGGGATGCTGGGGAAAGTAATGCCACAGGAAACTAAATACCAGTTTGACTGTGATTGCTTCCTATAAGCCTGGCAGCTACATTTCTCCCCAAAAGATGACTCACGTTCAGGTTTCAGTCTCTTGTATACGCTGCTTATCACCAGGCAAGAATCTACTGCTATATGGTAAACAGTAAAGAGAGATGTGTGTTCACAAAACCCAGCAACTGGGACGACTGGGAATATTCACAGGTTTCCATCATCCTATGGATACTCCACATTTTTGTGGGACCACAGAAGACACATTGGAAAGCAATGTATTAAAAGTCATGAGAGATTATTCTAGCCATCTGGCAGTTTGGCTTCGGTCCTGCTGCTCCCCACAACAGGCTACTGGCACATATGGGGACAAAAGTGCCTCTTATCTTCCAAGTACACAAAGAGACAGCAGTCACTGTGCTCTCCATCTCCATGACCGCAATGTTCATAGCTATTTTCTTGTAGAAACAATTAATCCCAATGATTATCTCATTTTTAAAGCAGAGACTGAATTCAACAGCTAATGCAAACCAGATGGGTTGTCACAATACAATGTAAGACTTTGCTTAATTTGCCTCTTTTTGCTCTGGACACTTCATCAGGTGTCCCAGTCTTTTCACACTGACCCACAGTTTTCACAAGAGACTACCTTATGGTAAGGGAGACAGGTTGAAGGTTTATATTCAAGTGTGAGTGGTGACACATCAGGGCGTTTCTCTTCTCATTCATCATTTACAGATGCATACCCCTAGGTAACATCTCACAACTACATGGTCTGCAGTGCCTCTCCCTGTGCCTGCTGGGTGTGGTAGTGTCTCCTTTCTCTTACCAGATGTAGCAGGACACGCAGAGCATCTCGTGCCCTTTCAGGGTGCTGCAGAATCTCGGTCAGGGCCTGTCCTACTAGTGAAGAAGGGCTATTCAGCTTCATATCACTCCCAATAAGCATGAAACCTGCAGGACGCAGAGTAAGAGATGCTCAGTCTCCTTTTTTTAGATAAAATGTTCAAAACAGAAGCAGATATCCTCTCCCCTCTCAGACTAATGGAATGATGGTTTACTGTGCCCTGAAGAACAATATTTTTTCCCAGATCAGCTACCCACTCCCTGCCCAGTCCCATAGACTGAACTTCCAGAAAGCTTCTAGATGCTTCTTTTGTCCTCTACTAAATCAATAGTGTTTTCCTGTTCAGGCAAGCGGAAAACCACTGTATTGCAGCTAAACTAGTCGTAGCACACTGCATGTCTCCTTTACAGCAGTGGAAATCGATAGATGCTAAACAGTGCCCACAGACACAGGACTCAGAAAACTGAGAGCTTTCCCTGTGTCCGTTAGAAACCTGTCTTGGCTTATGCAGCGTGTAAATGCTAGATTCTCCAAATGTCAGCACAAGGAGCTCCCCCTTCTCATCCACTGCAGCGAGGTATGCAGCTGTCCATCCTGTCCTCATTCTGGTGGTCAATCTGAGACTCACTATCAAGAGTCAAAGGTGAAAGTCAGGGATTGTGCGTAATGAACTTGCTCACATACCACAGAAGGGGCAGTACTAAGACAGCCTGAGTAGCTGGAAGCCTCTACTTGGTGGTGATGCCAAGCACCCATGTCCATGCTCATTCTGTTTTGCCTAGGAAGCTGTCACTGTTTTTATTTTAATGCTCTTTTGTTTGAGAGAGAAAAATTTTGGAAGGAAAATAAAATACAAACTGAACTGCAGACTGTAACCTAAACTCAGCTCCCATCTGGTATTGTCTGAATCATGTCCTACTGCTGGACTCAACAAGCCTGAAATCACCCTGTCAGACTAACACCAAGTTCTCATTTTAACAAGCTCTAGTGAGATTCCTGCTCCTCCAGCTACATAAGAGTTTACACCAGAGCCATACCCACAACAGCTTCCTGATCTAAAATACACGGTCTACTTGCCTGGCAAAAAAAAAAAAAATCTGTTTGGGGAATGTGCACAGCTTTCAAAAACAAGGACTTGTGCTGGGAAAAAAAAATGCAGGTTATTTGTACATATCCCTGTAACAACACTGTTGAACCCCAAGACTTTGTCTTTTTGAATCTCAACTCACTCATCTAATTGAGAGGGAGCAAGCAGCAGCACTCCACCCCAACGCTTACACTGCTGAGAAATTTCCAGTTGAAGCAAGGGAAACCTTTCTCCAAAAAGGACCAAAGGAGGAAGCCCTGAGAGGTTTATGTCACAGAAGTCATAGCTACTGGTTGCTGCTGCAACTTCCAGAAGTACTACTCTTGCCTCCTTGTTAAGAGTTTCACTAAATTCTCAGTGGGAAGGTTCTGTACATTTGCTCCAGCTAACTCCACCCCAAGTACACAGGAAATTTGATGCTACCGATTTCAAACATTGGGAATAAGTAATTGTATTGCACGTTATATATATTACCAGTCATTAAACCATTGTGATATTACAGGCTTCACCTCACAATTGCTTTAAATAATAGCAAATTCATAACGCACTTACTACACACAGTGAAATACTGGCGTTTTCCATGACACTGACATTCAGCCACACTGAGCTGAATCTGGGTCTGAAACACAGGGCACGTGCTACTCCCAGCTACCTACTAGCACTGCTCCTTGCTTAACTCAAACAATGTGGCGTACGAGCGCTTGCTAGAAGCCCTGTCTTCTTTGTCAAAAAGTAGATTCTTCCTACCTGCCCAGTTGGACGGATGGGAGAACTGCTTGCTGCTCTGTACAGTTTTCATCGCTTCTCCAAGGGCTGCGCTGGCTTTCATTCCATTTAAGAGGGAGGAATAAAAGGCATGCACAAACATTTTGGAAGCAGCCACAGGAACAGGCCAGAGTGACACCAGGACACACTGAGCCCCAGCAGCCAGGAATGCTCTTGTCAAGCCAATGACTCCATCAGCAGTGACTTTGCTGTTGGATTCTTGGTAAGAGCCAAGAACCACTAATTTGACAGGAAGCCGCAGATCCAGGACATCAGCTGCTGTAAGCAGAAACTCCTGAAGAGGAGGGCAGTCTGAGATGCTCTCCACATCACTGGCATCATCCTGCATCCGAAGGGATTCCGGGATTGTGTAGGTGTTCCCAAAAGAACTCTTGCTGCTGGCTGGATTGCTGTCAGTGTTGGGTGTCAGGACCAAAGCAGCCAGTTTCCAAGAGACATGGGTTGCAAAATGGACACATTCTGCCTGAGTGAGGGCACTCATGACCCTCTCTTTTGTTGCTGCACCGCCAACTAAGGGCTGGCAGCCAAGTAACTCAGATACCATATACGCTTCCTCTTCTGCAGAGGGCATAGGTCCCCATAGCCACCTGTCCATAACTGCTGAAGGAAGCTTGGGATTTCCAATGACAGCTGCCATTGAGGTAGAACTGGAGTAAGCAGGAGTATTCTTCCTTGCATGGGACTACAGAAAGAAAGAGAAAAAGAAAATGGTGTTCAAAAACCTTTGTGTTATGGTGCTAGTAATAAAATACCCTGTCTCTTTGGCTCTAAACAGAAATGTGGTTGTCATAATTACAAAAAAAAATTTGTGTTTCTTTAGTTTCTTCCATTTAACTATTCCAAGGAACATCTCCACCTGAGTCCAGTCAGGACTTCTATCCCCACCTCTTGGGTGAACAAATAGGTAAGCATAGAAAGCAACAGACTTAGCCCAGGTCCCTTTGAGGGTGGTAGCAGAGCTAAAAGCATGAAGAAGATCCCAGCTTCCCACCTTATGGGAGGACTACCTGTAATTACTCACTAACGGGTTTCTTGCACCTGTACTTCAAGGATCAGTATCACCACTGCCAGCGGCATGGTGCTGCGTGCAACTGGTTACTGGGGCTTGACACTGAACAGAAAAGCCTAATCCCCACATCAGTAATACTGACCAGGTTCAGACCCTTTTGCTGTTCAAGTGACTGTGTTTAACCCAGTGCAAGCCAAGACACGCAGCAGAACAGTGCAAAGGCAGATGTGACTTAGGGCATTCTCCCCAGAGACCTGGGCCTTAGAAATGCTGATGCCAAACATCAGCATGAAGATAGTTTTGTAGGATTTGCCTGTGGTGTTCACTTTGCCGTATAGCTTCAGTGCCAGGAGACATTAGTGGCCATCTCCACACAGAAAGCTAAGATGTAGGTAACTATACCAGGAACACGATAGGACAGTCAGCTTGCCAAGGAAGCTCAGTATTGATCACGAACACCTACGTTCATGCAGTCTGCCATGTAGTTCCACATCCCAGGACAAGCTATCCTTTAGATGAAGATATTCAAATGATCCATTCCCCTTGTCCTTCCTGGCATCCCTGGGGCTGTGATTTTGTGCTGCAGGAACTACATCAGAACCTACTTCACAGCTCTGGCGCTCAATGTGCTCATCAGAACTGTGAGTGCCTTGGGAAGGTGGTACATTTGTGGTTTCTATTCTTGTGTCTGGCGTAGCAGGACGGAGCTGCTGCTATTCTAGCATGTATAAGAACCTGCACCCTACAGGAGACGTCCTATGAGAGCGAGGTTTAATAAGGCAATGTCAGACCTTGGAGCTGGGATTCAGCGACTGGATGGATGGCACGGCAATGAGGCTGAAGCGCTCATAGAGGTACTCATTGGAGGAACTGCCCTTCAGGAGAGCAAAAGGAATGAGGTACAGTTCTCCCTCCAGAACTAGTATCAGCTGGCGGTGGCGGCCAACAGGCCCACTGGAATGCATCAAACCCTGAAAGAAAAAGAGAGGGAATCAGTTTGACCCTTTCACTCCATCAGCGCCCCAGCCTGCACCTCCCAAGCATCAGGCTCTAGTCTGATCCCACATCAGGTTTGGATATCCACATCAGAATTACGCTCCGTGTGAACACAGATGTGGTGACAGATGAATGCACACCGACACTGAACAGATCTAAACAGCTGGACTGTTGCTCACCTGTGCAGAAACAATCCCATAGAGATGAAGGAGCCTTGAGCACACTGACACGCTGTACAGACCTTGGTTGTCACACCCAGCCTCCACAAGCACACTGGGGCCCAGCCTCACCACAGCACAGCAACTCCTTCCGCTCCAGCACAAAACCTTTGTTAAACCCAACCACCTATGTCTTGTCAATATTTTTCTCACCTTATCCTTTGAAACAGAAGATGCTTTCTGATATTGAATTTCAAAATAGCGATTTCCTATATAAGAGCAAACAACCATAGAATCATAGAACCATTATGGCTGGAAAAGACCTTTGAGATCATCAAGTCCAACCGTTAATCTAACTCTACCAGGCCCACTTCTAACCCACGTCCCTGAGGACCATATCTATACGGCTTTTAAATACATCCAAGGGTGGCGAATTCCACCACTTCCCAGGGCAGCCTGGTCCAGTCTCTGATAACCTTTTCAGTGTAGCAGTTTTTCCTAATGTCTCACCTAAACCTCCCCTGGCGCAACTTGAGGTCATTTCCTCTTGTCCTATCAGCTGTAACTTGGGAGAAGAGACCGACCCCCCCTCACTACACCCTCCTTTCAGGGAGCTGTAGGGAGCGATCAGGTCCCCCCTCAGCCTCCTCTTCTTCAGGCTAAACAACCCCAAGTCCCTCATCTGCTCCTCACAAGACTTATTCTCAAGACCCTTCACCAGCTTCGTTGCCCTTCTCTGGACCCTCTCCAGCACCTCAATGTCCTCCTTATACTGCGGTGCCCAAAACTGATCAGAGTACTCACGGTGCGGCCTCACCGGTGCCGAGTACAGGGGGACAATCACTTCTCTAGACAGACTGTGTCTATGACCCGCACTTCAAGACGCTTGACATGGTAATCAACCCAGAGTCACAAATAGGTCTAACGAGAAAGTATCTTATGGATGGAGCAGTGAGGCAGAGAGATTAATAAACAGGGAACACGCAGCTGGGCCCAAAAAGTGGCAACTGCTCCTGGTCCCACATAACTGTGGGAATTTTACTCCTATTTACCTAGTGTATCGTAAAAATAATTAGGTATCACCTCAGAAAGAGTAACTTTAAAGCACTGAAATCCACTCCAGCTTAAACACTTGCAGCACCAAAATAAATGTCTAAAGGACTCTCTTGCAAAACGGCAGTAAATTTCTAAGCAATTCTACACCTTTAAGCTAGAGCAGCAGCCACAGCTTGGCCGAGCAAATAAACCATCCATTTGAAGATGCAACTTTTAGCACAAGTTTGGATGAGACAAAGTCCTCAACTTGACATAGTTTTGGAGATAAGTTCAGCTAGCATTGTTCTATTTCTGTCTAGACTGCTTGATGTTCCCAAAGGCAAGCTAACTTTGCAGTGTTTGCTGCAGGAGGAGACAAGGATCTAGGATACAGGACTAGATCCTTGTCTCTAGATTCTCATTTCTTTTGAGAATTTTCATTTTAAGCCATTTTATTTGCCATCAGATGTAGCAAACATCTGTTTTGACAGGAGAAAAACAGCTACCCAAATGGATTTCTGAACTAGCTTCCAACGCCTCCAAACATTACCTCTTCCTGATGCAAATTCTGGGGCTTCAACAGAACAGCAGTAAGGGAAGTATGTATTTCAAACACACGGCTTACGTTTCATAATTAATAACCACCAAAACCCCTGACGTGCTAGCTAGATACATTCTCCTTGGAAGAAATAACATCCATATTCTACCTCTTTTCTGTTAATTACCAAACATTACTCCCTTTAACATCCCTGCTTTAGAACATGCTTATTTCAGCTGAGTCCCCATTTAACAAGGGAGAGAAGAATCTTCCTTCTTTCATTGCCAGCAGTGAACTTTTACTAGGAAACGTCAAACGGAAACACAGAATTCTGAAACAAGGGGGGTGCAGAAGTAATGTCAGAAAATCCTGAAGTGCAGACATGGCGGCTAATCAGACAGTGCAACAGAAAAGAAAGGGATATTGTGCATTTTGGGGGTGAATATTAATACTTATGTGAAGTTTATATATAGAGCTCAGACAAATGCACCCTGGTCCTAACACAATTCTTCCGCTCCACCTTGCTCAGGGTCTGTCTGGAACAGACTTCCAGACTGCACTGTGATGCGCTGACAGCTGACGACTAATTTGAGATACGCTAACCCCATCTCACTAGCAGTCAAAGAATAACAGGAATTTGCAGTCAGTCTCAGGCTTTAGTTCTCAAGGCAGCAGCAAAGATGAATGAAGATTACTAAAGAAATAGAAAAATCAGTTTGGCGGTCTCCTCCAAAGGGAGTTTGGAGTGAGTCAGAAATACCAAAAAACAGGTCAGCTATGAGGGAGAATGTCAAACAGTAGCCAGTTAAAGAGAGCGAGCGAGGTGCTTTTAAAGGCTTCTTGCCATTTGAAGTAGGAACAAAACTGCTGAAGGGTAAGAAAATCTTCATTTAAAAGGAGTTAAAAATAGTTGCTGACCTCTTGCTGTTTCTCCTGTCCTCCTTACAGCTCTGGAGCTCACCCTGCCCCACAGATTGCAGACGGAGATGCAGGGCAGTTGCTGACACACAGCAGCCTCGGGAGCCTTCCTGTGAACCACCTCCACTCGTCCTGACATGCTGTTTACAGCCCCAGCAGCCTTGAGGGAGGCCTCCCCAGCACTCACTGCCTGAGTGAACCAGCATGCGTGCTCTGCAGCTAGATTTACCAGCCTCCACTCAGCTGTGCCTCCTTCTGCAGAGCCCAAGTTGACAAGCAGCAGCCTCCCACCAGGGCAGTTGCCTCTTTCCAGAAATGTTTTTGGGTTTGACTGTTTGCTTTTTTTAATACTTATTCCATTTTACTTACTGGTCCGGGAGCTTTAGCTGTCAGCAACACAATCAGAACATCTGAGCCATAGTGACATGTGCCTAGCAGAATTTTTAATTTGAACGTAAACCCCCTAGAGTTTAATATTATTTTTCTTCATGATGGCTGTATGTGTGTTACAGAAACAAAAATAAAACTATGAGGATCATTTGTGTTTCATGTCTCCAACAACTAATTTTAGGGTGAGTTCTAACAAAAAAAGAATTTCTTCGGAGAGAAGAAGGAGAAAAGCATGAACTGTGAAGCACAGGAAAGCGTGCTCTACTTCACAGCAACGATGCTGGCTACACTGGCAATTTGTTGTGAAGGTGGAAAAGTCTCTGGTCCGTCACTTGTCGGGAGCATGGCTGTGCAGAGTTCAGCCAACTGACAGCTGCTGGCTTGGATGGGTCCCTCACTTGCAGCTAGTGTCACTATAATTCGAAGTTTCCATTATAATAGAATTGCCAAACCACACACAAGATCTGAACTGCATCTTCTCAGAACATGGATAGTAAGGACCCTGTATCTGCTAATTCTGTGCTCTCTGAAAGCCCTGCCAAGACCTACAGTACCTTACTAGACCCACCTTTGGGCCTCAGACACTCAAATCTGCCATGCAGTGCCCAACCACAGTGCGTCCTCACTGGGAAGGAGAATCAGGCTCCTGGGGTTCCCCACGAGGATTTCCTCCTGGCCTGTCTTACCTATTTACACTAGTTGTAGGCAGGTGTTAAACTCCCAGGTGAAGGTTTCTCAAGAATGTTGCAGAAGATGACAGAGAAACCCCTAAGCAAGGCTGACCTCCTGGTCCTCCAAAGAGGATGCACATGCTGCCTCTGGAGCAGAAGGCCCCACTCTCCAGTATTCACGGCACGACTGCAGGATCACAGGCTGACAGGGCTAACAAAGGCTCAGGACCACAAAGGTTATGCCTCTGCAATGGAGGTGACTTCAGCAGACAAGATTAAAGTGTCCAAACAGCCTTCAAAGTTACCGAAGGTAGAGCTGGTTTTCCCTCTCACATGACAGAATAATGACATTTCAATCTGTTCATTCAGCTGGATACAAATTGAGAAAAGACTCATTCTTGACTAATTCTTTACGTCTTCTAGCTTGAGATACTTCATGACAGAGACAGGGCTTTTTAATTTATCCTGCCACTGCTCTGTAAGACTGGAACCAGGGGCTGTGCTGCCGCTCCTGGTCTCCTGCAGAGGCCGGCCAGGGCTACCGCAGGACACCGCGCCACACAGCTTCCCTTTGCTTCCACATTTACCCTGTGATCCACCAGCCCGGGACAATGCCAGGGTCTGCGTCCTCCACCCCCGTGCTGTCAGGTGCGCCCCGGTGCGGCACCCCCATGCGCAGAGCAGGGCCCTGCATGGGCTGAGCGCTGGGACACCGGCAGTGAACCAAGAGGGCTGCTGAGTGCCTGACCAGCCCCAGCAGCAGCTCCCATCACTGCTGCTGGCACCTGCCAGGAGCACGTCCACCTCCTTGGAAAAGCACCAACCCCTCACCAACCCCTGGGGTGGAGAAACAGCAAGGCCCAGCTTGTCTGGCTGCAGCTGGCTGACAGCATGGCACTGCGTGGCAGCGGGAGGCTGCCAAGTTTGCCCATCAGTATTACTGAATTAAGGATACACTTCCTGCTTAGGTTCATCAAAAGCAGCTGACTGGAAGTGATATCAACAGTAACATCCCTGGTTTCCACCCCACAACGCACCCAGTCCCACCATCTGGGAAGACCAAGTGAAAACCACCATGCTTCAGATAGAATCCCCAAGCTGCCTATTCTTGCTTTCCCACATTGACAGGGGATTTTGTAAGTGAATCTCCACATTTGTCCGTGCCAAAGGCTTACTCCTTCCATAGGTCCTATCAGTAAGTCGTAGAGTGCACGGAGCGGGGGTTTGGTGAAGGACGTCTGTCTTCTGGGAAGAGATGATGTTCCATCCTTAACAGGAGACATGGTACTGCTGAACAGACTGGTCATGCTCTGACAGCTCCTGTGGGCAAAAGGCAAGTGAGAGGTGAGTTGCAGAGACTGGAGGTCCACTACAGGTTGCCCTGACTTCGTAACACTGACAGTGAGCCAGTCCCTGCCCATCCAGAGGACTCTGTTGTGTAAGATGCTTCATGGCACAGCTTTATTCTCCCATTCAGCTTCACACCACAATGAACAACAACGTTAACATCAGGGAGAACCGGCTGCAGACAGCATATTACCTTGCTATGGAGTTTCTCTACAAACTCAAGTGCCTGAAGTGCTGTTCACAGTTTTTACTGCATACCTATGTATAGCGGCTGTGTACAGGCAAACATGAGACCAAATAACAATTGACTACATTCACAGGAAGATTTGCACTTGGGCTTTGCACCAACTAATCTAGCATAGTACCAAAAGGAAATATGACAACAGGCAAACAACAAGACATGAAGATTACGCCTGCACTTGCTGCCACTCCTGTGAACAGCTCCATAAAGTCAGATGCGAGAGCTGACCTAGAGCCCGTTCCTGACATCCGCACAGAGCTCTGCACGTGCTCTCCTGGCATCATCAGCCACCAAACACCATCACTCTGAGGAGACTGAGATGGCATGGCTACAAAAAGTTATTGCCCTGGTGAGGAAATGATGCTGCCCCATTCTGGTCTCACTATTCCAGCAGCTGTGCTCCCCAGAAAGGTTATCCTTGGCTTGGTGCCATGAGCAACCATTTTATGTGAAAAGGATAAATTTACAGAAAGTTTTAACAGGTGGCCTTAAAGCAAAGGCAGAGAGGGAAATAAGACATTGAACAGTAATGGTAGTGCAAGGTCTGAAGTGTAACCAGAGTCACCACTGGGGTTGTCTGGTAATGAACACAACAATCTCAAGCATAAAAGGCCACCCATGAAGCAACACATGCCCCGGTGTCCTCAAGGTGCCAAATGCATTCAATGGAGGGTTCCATGAAATCCCAGCCCAGATCATGCACTGATGCTGCTGCGCACAGAAAGCCTCCCTCCATTCCTGGTCTCTATGAAGCACAGCGCTGTTTTGCCTCTCACACACCTTCCAATGCTATGTGCCTTTGCCAATTTACACAACAGGAAGGCAGCTATAGTTTCCTGATTCATGACCAAACTCACATGCTTTGTCAGGACAATAGTCTGCAATGTCCTCTTTTTAAGAACATTTACTCAGAAGAAATGCCTTGTGTCCGTTCCCTATTTTTACCTCTTGCCTGGATCAATTTTTGGCTATCAACGCAGGAAAGAAATAAAACCAGAAAGAACCTGCATACTCAGGAAACCAAAAGAAAACTCAGCATCCAACAGATGTTAATCAATGAGATATATTAATAGTTGATTGCATATTTGCTATAGGGATATATATTCATATATATACATATATATATGCCTATAGCAGATATACACACACACAAATAGAGGCACAGTGCCCCTTCATACTACCAGATTAAGCCAACATGCAGGAGAAGACAAGGAGAGCAAAAATGTTGCACTCAAAGTGCACTACCGCTGACAAACCACAGGCCTGAGACATACCTCTGACCTCTTCTGACACATACCAAAAGACAGATTCAGAAAATTTCTTTCTCCCCTCTCTTTCTCTCCTCAGTTGCTGCCACCAGGCTCCAGACCCAGCTCACATCACATCTACAACCTATTCTCTAACAAAAAAACAAAGCTACCACCCATGCTCCCCACTAACAAGGAATTTACATCTTACGGGCCAACAGGAGTAATTTAAGGACGCAAAGAGAAGCCTGGTGTCCAACTGCCTGTGCTCGCCGATGCAGAGGTTCTGGTGAAAGTACGAGTACGTTGCTGCTACTCAGAGCTGCTGAGAACTGACTGGGTGACTCGCGCAACACCACGTTCATTGTAGGATCAGCACGGACTCAGCACAGTCTGCTCCCCTCTGGACCCCTCTGCCTGGCTTCACTGCAGCAGCTGACTGAGCCAAGCACACTTTGCAGCGCTCAGTTGTTTCCACACGTTATGTAGCACAGATTTTAAAATCAGATCAGGAAATAAAAACTGTGCTTTCCCAATGTCATGCATTTCTAGTGCCTGAACCCTGTGCTCAAAGCACATCCCTCTAGTATAGCCTGCCTGATATACCAGTCTAGAAGGGCAGGGATACCCCACTGCTCATCCAGGAGCCAGTGGGCCTGTAGGGCTTTAGTCCAAGCACAACAGCCCTGACCCTCCCAAGAAGCAGCTATTTGCCAGCAGGTGGCACTCGCCAGCCTCAGCTTCAGGATTAAGCGATTTTAACACACTAATTTATTGCAGGGAATAGGGGCTTGATTACTCTAATCAGCAGAGCCTCCTTCATCCTGGTTTCAGAGCCAAGCAGCTCTAGATTTATTCCTTCACCACTCGGATTGCTTTTTATTAGAACAAAACCAAGGGAGTATCATAAATCTTTCACATCTCTTGCCTGTGTGTTTTGTACACAAAGAGGAGTGAGAAAATCCATAGGGGGAGAATGGACAGAGATCTTTTGTAGCAGGCAGAGCAGACCTGGAGCCCTGGCCAGCCCACTTCCTTTCTTCCCAAACCAGTGCAAACCACCAGCTCTCCAGCTGGCTTGTCAGGCATCTGAGTCCAGGTGATTCCAATGTGGCAAGAGGGAGACTTTTGAATCTTTTGGCCAAATGCCCCTTCTACAGAGCGCCAGTGCTGGCTTCTGGGATGAGCAACTGATCACTTCTACCTTGCTCTTGCAGTGTGGAGGGGTCCCCTGATTTCCAGAACAGTAAAATTTCTCATTTGGAAGTCTCTGCACAGACCCCGCAGTGCTGCTTATTTATAACCCTTTGTATAAGACAAACTGACCTGCAGCAAGCAGAGGAAACAGCACAAACTGGGACTCGGACTGCCTGCATATATCACCATTAACTCTGCTTCCGCCCTTTGTCTTGGAGATGCAAGAACAAAGCACGATCCCATGACAGCCTCAGAGAAAGTGGGAGAAAGCCCCTGTCATGCAAGCCTTGAGCTCAGATGGATTTGCCCCACCACTGGTTGCACAGGGCCTGACTCTGCTCGCAGAGGATGGACATGGCTGGGCCTGGGCAGGAAGGAGGGGTTCGTACCGCCATCAGCACAGAGCTGCTCTTGCCTTGGCACTCATTAGGGCTTCGCATGAGTCAAATACTACTTGTAACCACGCACAGCAATTCTGGAGGGCTGGGAGTTGGACTTACTGCTGCAGTGGTCTGATAGCCTCAGGCCAATGGATACCCATCAGGCCTGTCATTCTGCAAGTCTTCCTCAAAAAGACTCTTGCTGGAGATGCGGCCCCGAATGCACACTGAGGGCCTCAACACTCACACGCCATGCTGTGGGAAGCTCCAGAAAACATTCAGATATGAGCTCCCTGTGGATGCTTTCAAGGATCCACAATTACCTCCAGAACCCACCAGTGGTTGCACAAAACCCACAGACCACCCAGCACTCTCTGCTTGTGTGGTCTGTGCTTGGGCATCTCCAGCGCAGCACCCCGTATGGTGGAGAATCAGACAGATAAGGGACTCTCCAGCCACTGCTTTCCTATCTGCCTTCCAAAGACCTCGCTCCGTCCTGGGCCAGCCAACATCCCTGGTACACCCCTATCTCTCTGCTTCAGAGAGCTCAGTTCTCCAGGGCAAGCTGTGAGGCCCCTGAGAGCATTAATAGGCTTTAATGACCCTGACCATCCTGAACTGGGGCCTTCACCAACGTGTCCTGCCCACAGGCCCAGGAGCACCATTTAAGTTGGGGACTGGGCCTTCGGTCTCTGCTTCAGCTACAGTGGAGGTATGCTCGTCTCCAGCTCCATCACAGCTCTGACCGTGCCTGCCCATGAACGCTGCCGGTCCAGAGCCTTGACCTGCCGACTAGCACCCCCTCAGGCCTGCCCCCTCCCGATGGACCTGCACAGCCGTCAGTGGGCTCTGCCCGACCCGTTACTGCCACCAGACCTGATCCTGACCTCAGACCTGCCTCACCACCAGGCGCCCCCCTGATGATCTGGACCTGCTGTCCCCAGGTCTGCCCTGCTCACTTCACTGGGTACTGTGGGACTGGGTCCTGCTGGTGCGGCCCTTGCCCTGCAGGCTCTGCTGCTGCCTCTGGCTCCTGGCTCCCCACCCATCAGGGAGCAGCTGGTCCTTGCTGTGCGACAGCATCAGCACAGCCAACAGGGCCAAAATCAACACAAAGGCAGGATCCCACACCAAGAGGAGGGGAGATATGCTCAGCCATCACATGATGGTCACCAGGATGAAAACTCTGAGCAAAAAGAGATGAAACAGTATCTTTGCGATAGCCACGTTTTTACTACTGATGAGGTTCCATGTGGACTGTAACCACCTCCTTCTAGATTCCTCTGGCTGGATTCATAGAGACTTTACTCTTACTGGCACACTGAGCCTGCTCTGGAAACCTTGAACTGTGCTTTTAGGACTGGTCATGGACCCTGAGCATGCTGACTCTGCTGGAAAAAAACAAGCTCTCTGCAATCCTAAGGGGAGCTAGGGACAGCAATGGCCTTGGCAGAAGTGAATTCACATCTCAAATTAAATTTACCCTTACCTCCCAATTTGCCTTTTACAAATTCTCACAATGCTGCATTGCAAAAATTGCCCTCAAGGAAGTATATTTTACTCTTTGAGTAGTGTCAGGGCTGATTCTCATATTTTCTGCAGGTATATGGAAGAAGCACAAACAACTATTCCCACGATGGTGGACAGGCCAAAGAAAAGGTGGGGGGAGCTATACTCAGGCACAGGCAGTGATTTAGTCCCTTGCTGGAGCAGAAGACAACTATCGGGGGGAAATCAGATTTTAATCTGGAAACCCAGAGCAGAGAAGACAGAAGCTGCATAAGACATGAGCAACTGGGACTATCTTGGGGGGTATATCAGTGGCATCCACAGCTTAGACAGCTATTGCCCAGTATTGAGATACTGCAGCGTCCCTTCAGTGTTTCTTTCTTCTCCAAAGTCCATTTCTTCTCAGAAGTTCCTTAAGATAACTGCCAAACCCCGACATTTTTGCTTTCTAAGCAGAACTGCCAAAAAAATCATACTATTCTCTCTGCTTAAAAGCCAGGTTACCTGATGACAGCAGCCAGAGGGCACTCGTCCCAAACCAAGGGCTTCGTTTCAGTCACCCGCTTGTTGCCAGACATGGAGACTGGATGGCTCCAAAGAGTCCCAGCATCTCCAGGGCCTCATTTTCTAACATGGGACCTTAACAGCATGTGTGATTCCTGTGCGTGAGGGAACTTGCACTGGCCCCAAGCCATGCAAACTCCCTTGAGGATCTCCAACATTCAAGCACAAGATGTGAACATGCATTCAGGCCCCACATGAGGAATGCAAGGCCTGCCTTGGCAGTAGGGAAGACAAGCTCTTATTCTCAACTCCACGCAGGCCCCACTCCTCTCTGTCCCCTGCAGTGCAGAAGCCAAAGCAAACAGACACCATACCTTCAATCACTGTTTGTGAGCCACAATTTTACCACCCTCTGAAACACTACAGCAGCAACAATCCACTCAGCATTGACCTACAGCTACATGAACTCACTCCAGTACTAGCTGGCAGAAAAGCCATTGCAGACAGGAGGTGAGATGGAGTCTGGAGCTGCGAGATCACAGCTTGTGCTCTTGCTAACCACTCAATTCTGTTGCTTAACCAAAGTCTAAGAGCTCACAGTTCCTTGTTAGAGTTCTAGGCCAGTGCACAGAAATGCTGCTTGTTCCCACTTCATTTCTTAATCTGCTCTCTTTCATGCAGATTTTCATCTGCTTCCTTTCTGAAGCTTCAGGGCTCTTGTAAGGATGTCTCCTTGTCCCAAGCTCAGTGTGCTGCATGCCATGAGCCACTCCACCCTCTTTACAGTTATAAAGAACCACACAGTATAGCCAGAAGCCAGCTAATGCTGTCTATAGTGCCCTTCTAGACTCTGTAGCCTCCAGTTTGGTCATCTATGGGACTGGAGCAGATGTTAAGTACAGGAGGTATTCAAAGGCTTGGGCAGGACCACAGCATCTACTCTGAATTCAGGGCTCAGCAAGCCAGATGCAAAACAGATGTGGCAGTCTTAGCTCTGCCACTAGAGCCTCCTGGTATGCCCCCATCTGCAGGCAAATGGTGGGCAGGCAGGCCATAAAGCAGTGTCTTCTCATTCTCTTCATCTCAGTGCTCACGGTGAAAACATAAAAGACATGGCTGCTTCTAGTGCTCCTCCCGATGCTCTTATGAGGGTGTTTTTAATTAAAGTGCCCAAGCTGCCCCATCCCTGAGCTTCTCCTAAAAGCTGCAAACTAGTTACGTGATAAGACATCTGAGGTAACCTCCTGGATGTGGGTTCACAGTAATGCACTTGGCTTCTATGGAGAGAAGAAGCATGGCTGGCCTCTGCAGTGTTCCTAAGGATTAGCATTCCGTGGAGCAGAATTGGATTGCATTTTTGCCCTGTAATCAGAGCAGCACTCTCCTGTCTTTCTCAGCCTGATGAACTAGCAAAACATCTCAGCAATCCTGGGGATCTGCCTGTTTGATCCCAAACTAGCAAGTACAAGTTCATCAACAATGCAGCAGCCCGAACAGATACGCATGTAGATTCTGGAAAGAAAAACAGGCCAGTTGTTGGTGCCAACAGGCAGCTCCCCATTTCAGGGGGATGCTGTTACAGCTCACAAGATCCAGTGATGGCTCACAACACTACAGGCTGATTGCGTTTTCTTTTCCAGCTGAGAAAGGCCTGGGGTATCCTGTGCTCGCAATCCATGCTGGAGCACAAATCTAGCCAGAAACCCTGGATTGCGTCATGCAGCCCCTCTTCACTGGGGGAGTGGTAACACTGGAAAAATTCTGTCTTCAATTTTCATTCCAAATGCTTGCCCTAATTAGCACAGTAATATGAAAGACTGAGACCTGATCGAGTTGTAAGAGGCAGAAAATCAGTGTGCTGCTAGCACACAGTCCTCTAACACTGGAAATGCAGCATATTCCCAGCTAATTAGTACAACAGTTAAGATCAACAGAAACAAGTATTTCCATAATAAGCATGTTGCAGAGAGCTCCAAGCTCCACACCTCACAGACAGCAGGGACAAAACAGAGTTCCCTTGCAATTGTTCAGATAGTCAGAAATAATGCTTGGCCAGAAGAGCAAATTCGAAATGGCTGCCCCTCTGGACAGAGTTATCACTTAACAAGTGCTGACAAGTCCTTGCCAGCTATCACCTTAAGCTATCAAATTCACCTAGAAGTGCAATGAAGATGCCACCACCTACATCTGCCAAACCAAGCTACTGAGTTCTTCAGTGAAATACATAGTCCTGCCTAGGTCTCTACCTGTGCCTGGGGTCCCTCCTCCCACAACAGACACAATGATGCTTTCAGTCGTTGTCCTGCCTCCTTCCTACTGAAAATTTCTATTTCTAAAGAAGGAAGCAATAGGACCCTGTGGCCCTCCAGGACCTGGCAGGGCTTCTTTGTCCAACACTTGAGTCTGTAGAACAAAAACAACCCCCAACAGGCCACTTATCTGTGGAAGGCCACCAGGCACTCGAAGCTCCCAGGCTGGATACACATGCAACACCAGGCGGTAATGGATTCTCAATCCCATCAGGAGCAAGATGCAGAGCTCTCCTGAGGGGGGGAGAAATTCTCACTGCACCACATGAACACAAAAGGAAAGGACAGAAGGGAAATGCCTACGAACCCCTCTGCTCAGCAGGGAGAGTGCTGCGCGGTACTAACATGGACCTTATTCCTAAGAGAGATGCCTAATGTTCCCCATGCATCCATGCTGTAAAGAATGGACATTTACTGCAACCGTAAAGGATGGGATCAGTTTGCTGCTCTGTGTCCCCACAACTCAGGGCAATAGGGAGACCAAGAGCAATGGCATTGTCTGCACCCTAAACCTGCCATTTAGAGAGAAGCCCATCACCAAGATGTTTTATTTTGCTTGCTGATCCCCACAGTCCACTGCTGTATTCTCACCTGTTCAAGAGGTTGTTCCTCCTGACCATCCTCAGGAAGCCAGTCGGATCAGTCATTGAGTTCAGCTTGTTATTCATCTCCTCAAACTGTTGGTCCATGATATCCCCAGCTTCACTCTCAGTCTCGCTACTGGCACAGGCTCTGAAGGGGGAACAGAACAGCGAAGGAGTCATTGATGCAAGACAGAGCAACAGCTTTGTGACAAACGCTCAGCCAGTTTGAGAGAAAATGTTTTTCAGACACAAACTCAGCCAAATGCTACAGTAAAATTTTCCCTGGATTGCATCATCTTCTCCTGTTCAGCATGTAAGAGAGTAACAACCCCATCGCCTCCTTCTAGGCATTCTTCAAGATTTAAAGAGTGGCACACACTGATGGAAACACAGGACCCAAATTCCCATGTACTGCAGGTAGGGACTTTTGAAGCTGTAGCACAACACAGAAAAGCTGGGTCTGCAGGAAACACCAACTCAGCCCTTGATTTCTCTACAAACATGTGTTAGTGCATCCTTTTCAGATTTCCACAATAATAACTCCAAGCTCTGTATGCTTCCTTCACTGACAAAGTGCAACATAAAAAAGGGAGCTGTGTTTCTGCTCCTGCCACACAAACAGGGAAGGCACAGAGAAAAAAACCCAACTCTATCAATGCCACTACGATAGCAGCAATACAGAGAGAAATAGAGCCCAAAATTTCTAAATTTTCCATCTCCTGACATTAATATCTAAATTATCATCTCAACGTAGATCTTCTGTCAAATTGCTGTTAGCATTTTCTCTTCTTTCTAAAGGCAGAAGGCAAACACAACTATTGTATGTGCATTTTTAACAACCCCTCCCTTTAATCTAATAAATAATTTGCATATTATATGGTGCATCCCAAGCCTTGGGATTTGTACACTTAAACTAAACCTGTTATGCTACCTGCTGAAGCTGTCTTGCATCTCATTCCTGTTTCCTTTTGCGTTCCTGCTAACTTGGAGCTTTTCTTCAAGGACGCATTTTCCAATAAAAAGCACATGAATTAAATTAATGCACAACACATACTTGTGCATGTAACTAGAGCTGTCCCTATGTTGCTGTATGGACCACAGGATATCTTGTAAGCATACTTCCAGGTCAACATAATTTAATAACCTGAAAGAGTAAGTCCCGACAAAAGACTTCATGAACACTGAAATGGGGCTAGCTGATCAACAGCCAAGGGGGCGGGGAGGGCAAGGAAAAAAAGGGAAAAGAAAAGGCTGTCAACAGCTGCTTCCTGCATGTTTTTCCTCCAGCTGCAGACATGCGCAGTTTTGAGTCCTGGCACAGTTTTGAGTAACACTCACAATGAGTATTTGGAGCTCCTTAAAGAGGCAAAAATCTTGAGTTCATGAACCCAAAAGAGCAGGCCACATGCTCTCCCTAAAGAGAAAGGAGTCTGTCCCAACACAAGTTCAAGCAGACTTTGAAGTCTCTCACACTTTATTTTTTTGCAAGTATGAGTTATTTGCCTGCTTAATTAGACCAGCTGAAAGGAACCATTTCTAGCAGAAAGCAAAGGCTGCAGTGTAGAACTGAACACCACCACAGCAAAATCCTGGTCACACATCCATGAAAACATCCATTCGTCTCCAGTAGCAGAAAATGGGGAGATGTGCCACTCTGGAGACACAACAGTAACTATAAGCAGGCTTACAGCAGTATGGAAGTCAATGGCACTTCAATTTGAACACAAAAGCACATAACTACCGTGCACGTAAGCAAGCCATGAACTGAAAAGTCAAAAAAAAGTTTTCACGTGTGCTATACATATTGAAATCCCTCTGTTCTTTGCTGGTAGGCAGAGAACAGGTTCCAGGGACTGCAGATGACAGCTTCTGCTGGGGGTCTGGTGTGCTGGAGCATGGTGGCAGTCAGCAACACTGTAGGGTCTATGCGGGGAAAGAGGTTCAAAACAGAACATGACATTCACCCACATGGAACAGAGAAGATGTGTTTGTTTAATTCCCTGCATATAATTTTGAACTGGGGAAAGAGCTTCTGCCTGTGATCATGCCACACCAGCCCAATGATCTCAGACACAAGCATTAAACCCAGAATCCTTAACCAACAACATACCACTACCATCACCACGAAGAGAGGAGGAAGCCAACATCACAGTAAATTAAAAACTCATCCCAGAACCTAAAGACTGAAGAAACTCTCTTTGCCAGGAGGAGAATCTGTGGTGACAAATGGTTAATGGAACTGAAAATGAACCTGCAAATCTGTTACATGAGACGTAACTACAGATTTCGTTTGTGTATATACATATCTAGAGGGTAAGATTCAACCATCAACACGTGGAGATAGATGTAACCTTCTCAATCACGCAAGCCTGATGCTTTAAGAGAAAGGTAGGTGGAACCAATTCAGTCTGTTTTTCTTCCCCTCTTGTCCTTCCTGTCAGTATTCACACGTTGGAGGGAGCGACTATTCCCCAGAACGGAGAGCTCATGGTCCACATGCACATACAAGACAGAACTAGATGAAGCGTCAACATCCGGAGCACATCTGCAAAACCCAGGAAACATGAAGGCTGGAGGGAGTAACTTTTGACATTTCCTTTAACGGGAATCAGGCAACTCATTTTCAAGCAAGACTTGAAACACATAACTCAAAAGGTGTGACTGAAGTGAACAGAAGCCGAAGTCTCAGAACAAATTTTACTTAAGAACCCAAAAACCATAGACACCACCACCACCAAAGATAGGCCATGTCTTAAATGTACCACTCATATGTTAGCAATAATTTCATGATTATGAACATTTGGACTGCAGTGCTTACATGCTTGTAGCTTCTCAGGGCTTCAGTATGAAGGAAGCTACTCCCCTGTCTATATCTGTTCCCTTACGTTTTGAGTAGTCAAAGCTGAAAGACACTTTGCTGTTTCCCAAGAGTACTTCACAAAACCCCTAGATTAACAAGCAGTTTGTTACCGGTCACAGTGAAATGAATAATCCAATCAGAAACAGAGAGACACCTTTACAACCATGGAAGGTTGTGCACCTTTTCAGAAAGTACAAACCCGAAATGCATCCAAATGAGACACAACTGTAAATCCAGTCCACACAGACGTGGGGATCACTGGAGATGAATCAGCTGTCACTACTTCTGGTTTCCAACTGTCTCAACTTTATGAGTTAAGCACACACCCATCTCAGCAGCATGTTTACATTTAGCAGACGCAATCCCTCCAGTGCCCTTGAGAGAAAAGCAGTTGTGAGGCAGAGTGCTAGTATTTTTGAGAATCGGAAGGCCCACCACCCCTCAAGGGCAAAAACTACACACTCCTTGGCCTTTCTGAAATGCCAATACACGAATGTGCACAGCACAGGGAATAAACAAGAGGAGTTAGAGATGTGCATGCGGCCACAGGACCATGACCTCATTGCAATTACTGAGATGTGGTGGGATGGCTCACATGACTGGAACGCTGTCATGGAGGGCTGTGTTCTCTTTAGGAAAGACAGGCCAGTGAGGCGAAGTGGTGGAATCGCTCTTTATGTGAGAGAGCAACTGGAATGTATTGCGCTCTCCCTGGGGGCGGATGAAGAGCAAGTTGAGAGCTTGCGGGTAAGGATTAACGGGCAGGGTAACAGAAGGGACACTGTTGTGGGTGTTTATTACAGGCCACCTGATCAGGATGGGGAAGTTGATGAGGCCTTCTACAGACAGCTGAGAATCGCCTCACAATCACAGACCTTGATTCTCATGTGGGACTTCAACTACCCTGATATCTGCTGGGAAGGCCACACAGCTGGGTATGTACAGTCCAGGAGGTTCCTCCAGTGCATTGATGGTAACTTTTTGACTCAGGTGGTGGAGGAGCCCACAAGGAGAGGTGCACTACTGGACCTAGGACTGACAAACAAAGAGGGACTGGTGGAGGATATAAAGGTTGGGGGCAGACTTGGCTGCAGTGATCATGAGAAGATAGAGTTCAGGATTAAGTGCGGTATGCACAAAATGACAAGTAAGGTTGAAACCTTAAACTTCAGGAGGGCTAGCTTTGATTGCTTCAAGGAATTGCTTGGGCAAATCCCATGGGAGAGGGCTCTAGAGGGTAAGGGGGCTCAAGAGAGCTGGCTGCTGTTTAAGCATCACTTCCTCCAAGCCCAGGATCGCTGCATCGCGAAGGGAAAGAAATCAGGCAAGGGAAGCAGGAGACCTGCATGGCTGAGCAGGGACCTCCTGAAAAAGCTCAGGTGGAAGAAGGGGCTGACTGCTTGGGACAAGTACAGAATGCTGATGTTCTCAGATGTTCCTGGGCAAGCAGGAATAATGGCTGCTTTTCAGCATTTTGTACGCTTGAATGGGAACATGTTATTTCTGTTCAAACCTTTTGCTATTTAAGCCCTTGCCCAGCCTGGAGATGTCAGCCACGTTCCCTGAGTGCCGTCAGCAGACATCCAGCACCAACACACCTTGGACTCTTCCCTGAGGAACCACAAAAAAGGTGTGTGTACACACACACACACACACAGAGCCGCTGGCTGCTCCATGTCGCAGCAGCTCCAGTCCTGTGCCCATACTTGAACCGAAGGGGACCCAAAGCCTTCACAGTCCTGCCAGAGAAGTGTGTTGTCACAGAAGGGAAACGCTTCCAGCCCAAGGGCAGAGCGGACAGCCCCATGCCAGAGGGCTGAAGCAGTTCCTCTTCACAGAGGGTAAGCCAGACAGGCAACAACACTTCATCACTGTGGCTGTCCCAGCTCTGACGTCTCTCGCAGTGGCCTAAGGCAGGAGAGCTGCCGTCTGACTCGGAGAAGCTGAACAAACGCAGCAACGCTTGGCTGGGCCTCAGAGGTTGCACATGAAGTGCTCAGCACCGATTCCTGACTCGCACCCCAGTGCTCGCACTAAGCAGTTTGGCAGTGGCTCTTCGAAACAATTCTTCAAGCTGGCCTGAGCCCAGCGTCAGGCTCCAGGAGCAGGAGGCCGGGCTGGGGAGCCCAGCGCGTGCATTCCCCTGACGAGCAACGCCAGAGCACCGAGAAGCAAAGATAAGCCTGGCACCATGCACCATCGATTTATTTGACAGAGACACCTTTTTCCAAACCTTCCTAAATCCAGTATTTTTTCTGGTACAGGAAAAAAAAATAATCTTAGGTAGAGCTTACTCTTCTGTTCCCTAAAGAAAGGTAAAAACCAGGAGAATGTGTGACCACAAACCAAGCCCATCCTGCCTTGCAAACCTTTCAGGACACATTCAGCATCCCAGCATAGACACACACTCTTTAATTTACTTTTTAAATGGGTGAAAATAACAAAAGCCAGACCTGAATCCAGAACCTCTGATGGCTTCTAGCTCACTTCCAGCATCTGATGCTCCCATGAAGCAAATAGCAGAGGGACTTGCCGTCTGTGCCGAGCACACGTGTCTGTAGCCATCTCAGAGCTTCAAACCCAGTAAGCTGACTGCAACCCATGTCATTATCGGTACTGGGGACATAACACACCAAGTGTCATGTTCCCCCTACCCCAAGGGGAGAACTAATTTGCCCGTGAGAGACGGGAGCAAGTCCTGGGGAAAGCAACTAGGAAATCCGGTGCCACTCTGCATAGTTGAAGCACCTAATGGGAAACTTCAGGACTGGGGTTACGCTCTTATTTTGATCCGATAGAAATTTCCTGTCCTGTTTAATTAAGGTGTAAGTATCAAGGGTGGGAAGCTGAGGAAACTGCTGGTGAGCAGACTACAAAGCTCAGCTCGGTTTTACTGCTGCCTCCTGCACAATAATGCCCTAACTCACACCACCGCAGGGTCACCAGGCAGCTGCATTTGCCACCTACAGTAGCTATTACAAAAGATCAACAAGGATTAATCAGGAGCTGAACAGCTTCCCAGTTGCTCACAGAACCCTGAGCACAAATTGATTTGAGGATCAATGCCATTACTTCCTCTTTCTTGGCCAACACCATTACCTGGAACACCAGGGCCGGGTGTGCCCTGCCCTGCAGACGGCAGGTCGTGGGCAGAGAGCGATCGGCAGGGTGGTAGCCTCTAACTGCTAACGGCTCGCTGGGGCTGGGGAAGCACCGTGAGTGCTTTCTCCATCAAAGCTTGGACAGAGGACATTTGTCCACAGCCTCGGGGACTCAAGAGTGTTTTACTCATAAATCTTGGTGCTGCATAAGAATGCAAAATGGTTTAAAAAAAGACTACAACACCGTATAACCTAGAAGAGCCAGTGTCTCCACTCACACCAGTTTTGGGGGCTGGTTAACAAATCAGCCAACACATACATTTAGGTCCCCTTTGCACTAGTAGTAAACTAGACCTGCAAACTGCCAGTGTGTTAGTAAAGTAAAGCAATTAATGACTACCTAGCAAGCTTCACTTACAGAGCAAGCTAAACTGTTGCAACATCCTTTACCCTGTACACTTCATTCACAAAGAACATACGAGGACAGGGACGCCCCCAACTCTGTTTTTCAGACAGAAGTATTCAGAGAAAAAATACTTGTAAATATCAGCATAGAAACTATATTTCTATTCGTCCAATCAATAAATCAAACCAAATACCCCAAGAGATCATGAGATTGAGTACAAATAAGCAAAAAAAGCCTGATTTGTGATAAATCCATAGAATAAAAAAAATGAGGAAACATAGTTGTGGGACCTATCTGAGTAATGGACTTGAGTAAAGTTCCTCCCTCTTTGCTGAAATTCATCAGACGGATTAATCCACTGTAAAATATTTACTCAGCTATAGCCACAAGGGAACATATTTGGAGGGGGAGGGTGGAATTCCTATCCTTTTTGCAGTTTTCCATAAGTAAACCTTTGAAAGGGAATTAATTACACTGGAAAATGCAAGTAGGATGGAATCTGCCTGTATACAGTCAGACATGGCATTTGCCTCATCCAATCTACAGATTCATTACCCAGCCTATGGGTTCAAACCTTATTTGCACGTGCATATATGTTATTTGGCAAAAAAATAGCCATGGATACAAAAACAAAGCAATTTTTTTGTTGCTGCAATGAAGATTTGCCGCTACTCTGACTCTCAGTTCTCAGACTTCTCAGCCGACTAGCTCACCCCAGACTGTTATAAATTGGTTTCAGATGGGAGAGTGGGAAGAGTATGTTAGAGCCCCCCTCCCCATCTTACCGCGTATAGTAGGAATCCACACCCAGAGCCTCTCGCACACTTGAGATGTACTGTTCCAGCGCAGAATTTGTTATTGTTTGCAGGGTCATGTTGTTGGCTTCATGGAATTCCCCAGCATTTTCTGTCAGGCCATCACCCAGATAATACTCATGAAATTTCAGAATTCCTGCAAGGCACGAGAATCATGAGGTTATTTCTGTGGGGCAGGAAAAGCACAGCCAGCAACTGTCTAGGAAGGTGGCGCAGCCCCTTGCATTTGGCATTTTGAGTATAACTGGGGCAAAGCATTCCATGCCATGTCTCCACAGGGCTTTTCCAGCATTCTGTATTACAAGCTTGCTTTTAAAATCTGTTTTTGTACTTTGCAGATGATGACTCAAAGGTACAAAGACAGAGCAGTGCTTTTATGAGATGCTCAGAATGCATTTGCTATTGCAGCAGTCTCATATAAATTATAAAACAGATCTTTCATACAAGCACCTACCAGACTAATTCGCATTTCAATAGATGCACATGAAAACTACCTACTAATAGCCTCTGATCACATAAATTGAACACACAAGGCTCAAACGCTGAACAAAAGTGTTACCACTACAGCAGAACCTCCTCACATCACACAAAGATTTTTCATTTTACTCACATGAATGAAAATACATTATATACAAAGAAAGAAAAAGATGGATTAATGCATAGTGAAATATTAAAAGATAGCATTTCACAATGGGTAAACCAGATAAAGGACACTCAAGAATTCAACTATTACTGCAGATAAAACCTTCCTCCACTCAGACTGGCATATCCTTCCTGATATAATTAATTCTACAGTCTGTGATCAACAGTTAAAGGCTGCTCTGGATGCCCTGTTTGCCTTGACAGCATAAATTATTAAACCAGTTAAGAAGGGTGGAGGAATAAAGAAGAAAGCAACTCCTTCTGCAGTTACAGCAGCAAAGATAGAAGCGGCTAAGAGGCTCTAAGCGTACCATCTCAGTGGGATAATGAGGATCCTGCACTGCCACTGAAACTACTCTCTCCGTCAGCACTAATGAAACAGGAAGAGGTCACTGTGACTGCGCTGGAGTCACTACTGAAGAGCTCCCCAGAAAAGCTGCTCAAGTGGAACCCCGAACCCTCGAAGCACCACAGTCCCTCTCCTTCCCAACACCTGAGAGAGCGTTCAAGTCACAAACCCATGTAGTTGAAGCGTGCAACTGCTTTTCTAGAAGACTCAGTTTGGGCAAGGAGGAGACTGGTCATGAAGCCTAGTGGCAAACCCTATACTTCTGATCCATATAATCTTAGTAAATTCAGCTCGATATTAATACTATAGAATTACTGGCATTTTGTTGCACAAACTACAGGCCCAAAGAGCCAATTAAGGACTGGATGCATACTAAGACAACACCATTTTACACTTATACATGCAACATTGCAAAATGCCCCCCAAAAGCGTATCTTCCAATCACTGTCATCCCATCTGAAGTCAAGCACGTGTGAATGTTTGCTTCCCTTCCGGAAGTGTTTTTGGTGCAGTCTAAATAGTGCTTTTTATCTCTTTAGCTTTGTCATGGTGAAGGGCTGCAATTATTAAATTATATCCAGAAAGAACTCATGAAAATTTACAGTCATCGCTTTATTAGATAATGAACAACAGCTGTCTGCAAAAAGCAATCCTCTTCAAATTAATCCTCCTTGCTCCTCTGTGATAAGTGTTTCCACATTCATACGAGGAGAATTCAGAGGATCAGGCAGTTCAATGGCATATCAGGAAGCAGGGACGCCCTTCTGTTTTATGCAATCCACTTCAGTGGATAAATGTCAAAAGCTTTTGGAAGGATAAAGCGCAGAAATGTAATTAAAATAGGGATTCTCATGCATAGAAGATTCTTACAGAGCCAACATACTTGGAATCTCATTACTGCTGTACCCTGTGGGAAATATATACAGATTAGAGGTTGAAAAATGGAAATATTAAACATGTGAAACGTTTCCTTCTCCAGGTGAACATCAAAGCACTGAATAAGCACTTCTATGTCATTATTGCTGTGGCTATGCCATAGTTTTCAATCTATTCAGCTTTAAGGTGCTAGATGGAAAGGATTCCCTCATACGCTCACTCTGGCCCCAGATTTACTCCTAGCCACAAACAGTACAATTCTGCCTTTGTAAGGCTTTTTCACAGGCTCTCATCTCCAAAAAGCACCTCACCTGCCCCAGGAGCCAGCAGCCAGCTGTACAGATAACCTGCAGCCAGTGAGTAGTAGAGGACAAGTCCCCTCTGGCCGTTCACTGTCTCCAGGACCTGGTCAATGGTCACTGGAGAATAGGGATCAGAGTCCTGTTGCCCAGTCTGACGTTCCACAAGCAGGTCAGCAAATGCCCTCGTTCGTCCTCTCTCTGCTACTGCTAACGCTTCATCATGGTGACCTGAAAAGACAAAGCCATCTCTCAGACCTGACACCAATGTGGTCTGCAAGGCAATGTGCAGGATCAGGGACAGCTGCTACCCCAACCCAAACTAAAACCTGGGGAAGCCGGGTCACAGCACGTATTTTTTGAAAAAGTAGCTGTAATACAGTCCCACAGATTATCTTGGCTGCAGGCAATAACGTGATGTACGGGAAAACGAGCCACAGAAAGGTAAATGAACGGACAAAGCAAGAAAGAAGATCCAAAGGTGCCTGACACCCAAAGGAGAAGACCTTTATTTCTGTCCTGGGAAAGAAATGTTGTGCTCTGCCGGACAGAAGAGTGAAGGACATATCATGAACTGCACCCCCGCAACTTCAGTTGAACTCTTGGCATGAGCTTGGAGTTCGGCATCTCTTACCAAGACTGACAAGTACTCGCTGCAGCGCCTGATAGGAGGATGTCTGCAGGTCGAAGAGTGATAGCTTGTAATCTGTGCTCAGCTGCACCTCATGTCGGATGGTTTCAAACAGTGCTGAGGCCCGGTACAGCTGGGAGGGAAAACAGCCACAGTGACTTCCTTACAGACACAGCACAAAGCACTGGCTGGAAGAGCAGCAGGATCCAGGGCCAACACAGCCTCAGGCAGGGGAGGTCTGCCTCAGACAGCTCCTCAGGATGGCAGCATCCTGCCAGAAGGGAGGCAACTTTGGATGGAGCAGGGAGGCACATGCACCTGAGCTGGCGCAGTGCACTACACACCCTCCCCGGGATGCACCAGCCACATCCTCCCCTGAGGACAGGAATGATCCAAAGGGCTCAGAGGACACAAGCCTGCCAGCACAGGGCAGACCACAGTATACCTGGTGCTGAGACTCCTCCAGGTTCCCACTCGCCCAGAGGGAGAGGCCGAGGCCGTGGCGAATTTTGGCTTCATCTTCTCTGCGTCCCAGCTGCTCTGCCAGCCTCAGTCCTGAAAAGGAGTCAGAGTGAGAGACGGATGAAGGGGAGAAGGGGCTTCGGCGGCTCAGTGGAGCACTTCTGCCTCAGCAGCCTGGTGGGCTGTCAGCTCCAGTGGGCCCCCAGCCTCCCAGGCTCCTGCGGCAGGCAGAGACGGCCGTGGAGCTGCCAGGAGGTGGGATGCCAAGCAGGGCAGCGCCAGCGCAAGGCAACTGCTGCCGAAACTCAAACTGGCACCAGCGTGAGAGGTGCCTCGGCAAGACAGACATTTCCATAGACCAAGACCTCCCCAAGTGAGGTTGAGGTGAAGTCCCCTGAGACACACCCAGTAAGCCCCTATTATCAGGAAGTTCAACTTTTTAAACCTTAAAAGCCACACAGACAAACAAAATTACACTGAGCTGCCAAACACTGCCAGAAAAGACACCTCTTGCCACATTACTGGCTCATTTCCCACCAGTTCTCTCCAGCCTCCCGGCAGGCTCCACATGGTTTTTACGTACTGAGCCAGAGCAGAGGGCAGCATCCTGGCGTGAACGACCTGGAGCTCATTTCACTTCCAGCAGCACCTTCTGTGTCATCCCCCCCTTCCACCACGCTCCAAACCTCTCGCCTCCATGGGCCCTGCTGACAACAGGGATGCCTCCTCTTAGGCACCTCAGGTTTCCCATGGGCCGGGGAGCAGGGGCCCTGTCGTGACCACACAGCTCCGCAGCATCTAGCATTTGCAGGCTTTTCAGGAATTCTGCGTCACACCAGGAGACGGAGCTGTATTTAATTTCTCCCCTTCCAACTTAATTGAATTCCCTCAGCATACTGGAATCCTGCCAAGGTCAGTTTCAGGAAAACCAGACTAACTGATGTAATTAATCCTTCGGCTTCCAGCTTCATACACTCCAGCTATGCTGCTCATCTCCGCTATCAGAGAGCCACCACCTTCCACAGACACTGCGTGCATGCTGAAATCCCTTGCAGCAGCACAACTCACAAGCCAGCGCTGGCCCCGGTGCTCAGCAGCAGCAGATGGTTTACGGACACCGAGGGCTGACCCTCCCTCACCTCCCTGTCAAACACAACTTGCTTTCACTCACAGCTTAGAGGATGCTCACCCACCTGTTTTCAGTCCCACTTGAACGCAGAAGGAAAAGCAAGGTGGCTATCAGCAAGGCACACATCAGTTTGAGACCTGCTCTCAGGCTCAGAGAGACCCATCACGACCTGATGTGGTCTTCCCAGAGTCAGTTCCTGGTATGCAATGCTATTTTATAGAAAAGGTTCACACCCTCTAGGCTCAGGCACAAATGAGCTTTATAAAGAGACTCTGCCAGGTGCAATCTGGATTCAAGCTCAGAGCTAGCTGAGATGCCCCCAGGAAGGCACAGATCATGCTTTGCAATGCTTTGTCTACAGGAGGCCAGGAAGGTTCCCCCTGGCATGGCGTGCTGACCGTAACAGCCCGCTTGGACAGCTACTCGCAGGGATGGTCAACAGTAGCTCTGGATGTCTGCAAGAGCTTTTGCATCAAAGGCCGCTGTCAAACACATCCTCTTAGCACCACGCTCACAGTACCTCACTTCTCTGCATGTCTTCAGGCCTCCCTCCCATCCCCCCACACCTACCACAACATGCTGTGTTGCAAAATTCAGCCTCCTACCTTCCTGCAGGTACATCACAGCCTGTGAGTAGTTCTGCAAGGCGTGATGAGTCCTCCCCAGACTGCTATACGACACAGTTTTGGCTACAAGGTCGTTCATTTGTGCTGCAATGCTGAGGTGCTGCTCCTGATAAACTACTGCCCTCTCATAGGTGCCCAAGGACTCGTAGGTCAGGCCCAGATTGCCGTAAGCCCGGCCTTGGCAAGTGGGGTTGTTGGTCTCCTCCGCAATCTGCAGGTCTAGCTGGTGGTACTGCAGGGCTGTGTCGTACTCCCCCATCTGCTGGTAGACCCCACCAAGGCCGCAGGCAGCATCGCTCTCCAGAGCTCGGTCCTTCATCTCTCGAGCAATGTTTAGCTGGCGCTCCAAGCAAGAAATGGCTTGTTCATAGTTCCCCAGCTGGCTGTGCAGGCTGCCCAGCTCCCCATAGGCCTGGGCTTTGTTAAATGCCTCCCCCAGCTCATGTGCCACCACAAGCCTCTTCTCAAAGCACACCAGAGCCTGCTGCAAACTTCCCATAGCCCTACAAGGGAAGAAAACAACAGCATTTATTTTCCCAGTATTTTTCTGAAAGAGGATGTTTTGTCATTTCCTCTAGAGAACAGCTCAAATCCTTCAGGCAGAGAAAAGTGCTCCCCCGAGGAGACATCCCTGGGACCTCTGAATCAACCTCTTCCTTCTGCCACCCTATAAACTGCTCTTCCTCTCAGGGCAGAGCAATATCAGCTTCACTATTTGAGCCGGTAGCACAGTTCTCAGCACCCAGAGGACTCTGTTACTCGCCCCTGTGCCGCATCCCTCTGCATGCGTGCAGTGGCCACACAAACACACCCCATCAGAAACACAATGCATCCACTTGTACTGGTACTTCACTGTCTGTCATTGGAATAGATATGCAGTGCTTCTTACCTGTGCCCATTGCCCAAGCCCCGGTAGGCCTTTGCCTGATCTTGCATACGGTTCAAGCTTTGAGCCACAGACAGGTACTGTTCATAATACTTTATAGCTTCCTCAAAATCTCCCAGAGCCTCGTAACAATCTCCCAGGTTCCCATATGCTCGGCCCCTATCTAAAACAGATTCATTTCCACTGAGCTGCTGCAGCATGGCCAGCTGCTGTTCAAAGTAGCCAATAGCTTCCTCCATGACATTCATGTTCATCTTGGTAATGCCCATGTTACCATAGACTTGGGCTTCTATGCTGGGGTCCTTCAACTTCTGCCCGAGCTCCAGCTGTTCTTCGTAACACTTGAAGGCCATGGTGTACTTCCCAAGTGACATATACACTGCAGCAAGGTGACCATGTGCTCTGCATTCACCCGGCATATCTCCCAGCTCCTGGTACACCTCCAGCTCCTGCGTGTGGTAACCTAAAGCCTTGTCACACTTCTGTATCATTCTGTATGCAGAGCCCAAGGCTGCATAGGCGCTGGCTTCCAGTCTCCTGTCTTTAACATGATGGGCCAAGCTCAATTGCTGCTCATAAAATTTTATTGCACCATTTACGTCTTTTTTACAGACAAAAATATCCCCCAAGTTCCCCAGAGCTCGGAATTTGGCCTGGGAATTGTTCAGAGACTGAGCCAGGGACAACAGGTACTTTTGACACTCCTCTGCTTTGCTGAAGTCCATCAAGGCCTTGAAGGCCAGGCCCAGGTTGCAATAGGCTTTGGCTTGGCTCAGCTTGTCATGAAGATCCTTCGCTAAGGCCAGATCCTGCTCGTAGTACTTAACAGCTTCCTCGTAGTTCCCAAGGCAGTAATGGGCATAGCCAAGGTTATGGCAAACCTTCCCCTCCCCTTCCATGTCCTGCAGCTCTGGGGACAAGCGCAGGTACTGCTCATAGTAAGGGGCTGCCTGCACGTACTCTCCTCGCGAGCAGTGGAAGTTGCCCAAATTGCTGAGCGCCCGTGCTTCACTCTGGATGTCTCGCAGCTCCCGAGCAATGTTGAGATGATTTTGGTAGTGCTGCAGAGCACGGTCATGGGCACCCAGCGCTTGATAGGCAACTGCTAAGTTCCCATGTGTAGATGCCTGAGAGGCACGGTCATTTACTTCCATAGAAATCTGCAGCTCCTGCCGATGGTACTTGACAGCCTGGTCATACATGCCGAGAGCGTTATAAGCATTGCCCATGTTGCCATAGGCCCGGCCCTGGGCCGCGTAGTCACTGAGCTCCTGTGCTATGGACAGATGTGTCTTATGCAGCCGCAGCGCAGTGTCATAGTCGCCTTTCATCTGGTGAATGATTCCTGAAAAATAACACAAACAGGCTCAACAAAAACATTCCTCCACGCTAACCCTTCTGCAAGACCTTGCCGTGCCAGGGCTGCCCTGCAGCCCGGCCCGCGGCATCTCGTGGTTGGCCCTTCCCCAGGCTCCCTACACCAGGAGACCCCATCCTGTCCCCACAGCACCCCAAGGCGTCCCTGGCACCGCCGACGTGGCACGGCCCTTCTCAAATGAACTGCTTCCTCACTCCCAACAGGCAAATCCCAGAGACGGTTTTACCTTACACATGAAGCACACATTCACCACAATTGGACAGTCTGGCCTTACAAAATGCTCATTTTCTTTTTACTTATGCTACTTTTTTGTTTTTCCATCACAGTTACTCGACACCTGAAGACAGCTTTGGGTCTTTCCCTGCCCCTGAAAGAAAACAGCTTCCAATTTCCATCTGCATATCACAACCAATGTGTTGAGGGGGAAGAGACACGGAAGGTCAGGAGGTGGCTGCCTTCCCTGGTCACTGGCAAGCGCAGCATGCTGTGACCGGGCCCTGCACATCAGCCTCCTCTTGGCTTGCACTTTGAAAGAAAAACTTGAAGATAGAGGCTTTCCAAGTGAGCCTGGAACACGAGGGCTGAAATTTACTTTCCCAAAGCCATTTGGACCTCGCCGATTCATTTTTTGAACTCATGTGGGGTTGAAAACCCAGGTTCCATGACATCAGCATGAAGCATTCTCGCTGGATTACCTGTATTTCTACCAAAGCAAGGCATTCCAAAATTCTGCTCGCTTTCCTACTAACATGAGGCTTCAGGAGAAGGCAGAAAACATGGGCAGAACAAAACAGGATCAAACCAGCAAACGCTTGGCTGCTGATCACAGTTCATTTCTCTCCTCCTGCAATGAAATAGTCATCAAAGCTAGAGCTCATAGCAGGAGGGACCGGCTCCCTTGTGCCTTAGTCCTGGCCAAATCCTTCCTCAGCTCCAATGAGCCTGTGGCTCTAATTGATCAGCATTAGCTATTGCATCTCTAGCTGATGCAGGCTGATGTCTCCCTCCGGTATGACAAGGGAAGGTGCTGGCAGCAAGGATGGGAAGAACTAAGCTAAGTGTCCCCACGTGAGTATTCTGGCCCTCCATCTCCCATCTGGAGACATGGCCAGTGCTGGGGCTTGGTGGACAGCCGCACACAGCAGAGCAGTAACAGGAAAGACCACCGATTTCTGCAGAAAAAAACACAAAGTAATTACAAGGGGCGGAAATGGATTGGACACAAAGCCGAGTAACATATAAACTGCAAAACGCAGTCACTACAGTCACTGTGAAAGCGTCCCATTGCTTCAGAAACTAAAAAGACAGAATTAGCTAAATCTGTCCTCTGGAAACAGCAAGAGGTGTCCAGCTGGAAGCAGGCAGAACCAGCGCTGCCCCAAGGAGCCAGCGCTCCCAGCCCTGTCTCCCAATTGCTATGTGCCTCCCAGCCACCACCTCGGGGTGCCCCGGCTCCAGCACGGGCAGCCAGGCACTGCCCAGCGAGACGCAACACAGTGCACCCCACTGTGAGAAAGCTAAATACATAGCTTATTGAAAACCACCCCTGAAAACTCAGGGTTTCCAGAATAAGGGGATGAGCAAGCTTTTCCTAATCTCTTACTGCTAAACGGACGGACTCCTCAAGGAGACAAGACATGCTGTTGCTCTCCACGAGCACCACTCTCCACCTCCTCTGAGCAATCGGGTGTGGGAAAGCACTCAGCTTGAAGTGACCGTAAAAGGGAGAGGGAGGACAGAAAACAGGTTAAAAGCAAATTTTAGTTCTGCTGACTGCCCAGATAACTTCTTCTTTGATGAGATTCCTCTTAATTAAAAGTCAGAAAGCAGAGAAGATGACAAACCTTATTAAACATGTTTAGTGGTGACTTTGGCACAAAGGAAGCAAGTGCTAGTCAAGATGTGCTGATGAAACCCAGTTAAGCAGCACTGCTAACACAGAGAAGGATGAGATTATCATGGAGGAAGGACTGGACAACCTTATGTACCAGAGCAACAAGAATGGGGTGATGAAAATCAGCAGTAAACTATGCAAAGATATGCACTTCAAGACTACAAGGGCAGGGAGTCATCATCTGGAAATGAGAAGAGGAGCTATCCAGCCTCAAAGCTTAGGCACCCTGAAGAAACTCCACTGTGAGGAACAAGAAAAGTCTGTGCACAGTGGTCACCATTAAAATGCCATTGGTAAGTCAGACACTGCGTTCACAGGAGTGGTGGATGAAAGATGAGGATGCTAGTGGGAAGTCCTCTGCTCACTGTAATTATCTCTCTCCCTCAACACAGAGGAACTTACAATGAAGGAAGAGGGTCAGGGATGCTGACCCAACCCAGACCCTCTCCCACTACCACTTCATACTATACTTAAGGATAGATAAGAAAAGGAGTATCTGGGGCTAGAGATAATAGAAATTCCTGCCCCAGGACACCAACTTCTCCTGTCCTGCGTGAAGGAGAAGGGAAGTGGGAGGGGAAGATGGGAAGTCAGACACAGAGTGTGGCTTTGAAAGGCACATGGCAGCCTGAGAAGTAAAATTCATACTAGAGGTTAGGGCAACAGGTTACTGAAACAGCCAGTGCTGCCACTCTCTGGAGAGGCTATGGATGGAGTTTCACCCTGGTATACTATGTCCACCAAAAAGGCTGCTCTCTGTCACAAGCCCTGCTCAAGCAAATTCCCAGAATTTCAGCTAAAAAATTAAGGTTGCTCTTGGGAAAAGAGGAACCTGGTAAGAGACCCCACACAGCACTGCCTGGTATGTTTCCATCATTTGCCAGGGATAATTACAAAGGATGGCCCAGGAAGGAAAGGTTCTGACTCAGACTCCAAAATCATCACCTACCAAATATATACTCTCTTTGTGCATTCCTCAACAGACAAAAATGAGGTTTGTAGATGGATGGGAGATGAAGCCTTCACAGTTCTAAATGTTTTAGTCAGCCTCTTTACTGCCAAGAAAGGAGAAAAACAGTGAGCAAATGTTTACCAGGAGACACCCAGGACAAAACCAAGCAGCATAACAGAGAACAAAGCTGTGCTCTTCTCACCATGGCGCCTGCTATCACATTAGTTTGCTTGAGCTGTCACCCATCTGTTGTGGCACTTAAGGAAGAAGGATCCAGAAACACACTGTCACTTCGAAACATCAGCATTCTGACTCATTCTTACAGCTATAACTATTGACTTCAAAGTAAAAGATAGTCTTCTGGTCGGGCAGCCAGACTTCATTTTGGAATGGCACACGGGGGATACAGCCGAACACACTCAAGGCAAGAACCCAGCTGACATAAAGGGAGACGGCCAGAGACAGCCTTCGCTGCCTTATATAGCGTAAAGCACCAAAAATGGCACAAATTATATTAATTCACAAGCTTTCTTTCCTTAATGGTGAATACAGTTAGAACTGGGTAGAAACCTGTATAAGACATCAACAAAATAATCATAAAAGTTACATTCTGCCTATGCAGATCACCGATTTTTCCAATTCAGGCATCAAGTTGGTAAGGTCGGGGAGAAAGTGTCAGACTAACTTTGGAACAGTTTTTGTGGCTCCTGTGCTGGAGCCCGGCAGGCGGTTACAGCAGAGACCAGAGGCATCTCCAGCCTCCCACCAGCACTAGCCAGTGCAGAACAAACCCCTGCGTCATGAGGGGGTCACTGCTGCACCACAGCCTCCGGCTTAAACTGAGGTAGCATTGCTCTTGACTGAACCTGCTCTTTCACAATGAAATACAAACACACTGAAAGTCGAAACAGAGCAAAAGTGGTTCTGAAGCTCACCCATGTGGTGGAAGAACCAGGTCCCAGCCTGCCCGCTCCTCGTTGTGGGGAGAGCCGAACAGCACCCACTGTCTGCGGCACGTTCTGCTGCGATGCCGCCAGCGGGACGAGCATGCCGGCGAGCGGTGGGAGAGGAGGGAAAGGGGTCTTTGGCGAGTCAGCTAGTCCGTCGGCAATCAGGGAAGAGATGGGCAAACACAACCACATTTTTTGACACTAATTGCAAAAATGCTTCAGAAGAAAATATCTTGCTTCTTTGGACAACACGCCAAGCACATGAAGATATGCACAGAAGTTCTCTTGTAACTGCAAAGAGATGCTAAGCACCGAGGGAGAGACTTTAAACTGTGTTTTATTAATAATCTGAAGTGTCCTCTCTGCATCGCAATGGGAACCCTTAAGACCTGCAGAGGCTGAAAAGCCAGCTCTCCACATGGAGCCTTGGCATCTGGAAACACCATCTGCTTTGCAAAGGCTGACAATCTGAGACTTCTGGTTAAGCTCCACATCTCCTTGCTGTGAAGGGCTTGATAACTTGTGGCTGGCCCTCAGTCCATTACCTTCTGCTTACTGCGTCACAGAGCGCATTACATCTCCCTGCAGAGCGCTACAGCAGCTGGGCTGTGTTATATTCCGTCTCCATCTTGCTCAGCATTAGATGGTACACTTAAGAGATCTTTCCATCTAAATCAGTGAAATGCAAACAGAAAATTTCTGTTGCTTCAGCAAAGAGGCCAACTCCAACATTCTGGCTTGGAAACACACATTTAGATACATTTTTTTTGCCTGTCAGCATGGTTATTTTGATGAGGTTTTGTTTTGCGTGTGGATTAGATGAAAGAGACAATTAAGACTTGAGTTTTTAATTGGTAATAGATGCGTTTTAAAAAACAGTAATAGACTTTCTCAGCAAGAAGTGTATGTTCTCTTTCTCTAGTATAACTTAACTCTGACAGAGAAGACATGAAAATACAGCCAAATAACGGCTGAAACGTGAGATCCTGCACTCAGAAGCTAGGAAAACTATTCTAATACAAAGTGCAGAGTAGCTGAGTCAGCATACCAACTGAAAGTTATATTTAGGCTTAAATCCAATGCAAGAAAAACATTCTCTGCTGCACCAAAACGCTTTCCTTTTTTTTTTACAAGAATTTCTGGAATTACATGCTGACAGCATAATTAAATCCAAAGCTGCTGTAAGATTAATAATGATATTAAGATTCATTTTCTAGTCCCAACTTAACTGATTTTGAGTCAGCAAAACTGTGACAGAATTTAAACCGCAAGTGAGTACCATGAAGGTTGAGGAACAGGCGCAAGTCGCTTCCTTTTGCAGCAGCACTTGTTTTATTGTGGGATGAGGCACAGCAACTACAGCAAGTGTCAGCACTTGCAGGGAATTGCTAAGCCCATCTCGTCTCAAGATTTCTGTACCAGTTTGTTGGTTTTTTTTTTTTACAATGCTGAGTAGCACAGACACAGACACAGACTACACCGGACATACGGGCAATCAGAAGAAATACTACAGAACTTGAATTAAGCTTTTCCTTCTAGCAAACAAGCTGTGGTCTGCCCAATGGCAGAGGGCTCATAGAAACAGGAGACGACAGTATGGAAAACCCAAGATGGCTCATCACCACACTGCCGCGGGGAAGAAAACCAAACCCAAGTGACAGATTCCACTTCCCCAGACTGCATTTCCTCAGTTTCCTGATTTTGCTCAGAAAGAATTGGGGCAATTCTCCAGAAAGCAGCAAGTGCTTCACAGGGTGCTGCTCAGAGCACGTCCACCCCCATTTTACAGGCGCCCACGGCTGAACACAGCTGTGCGATACCCAGTACCCACACCATCAGAGCAGCCTGTGCACCCTCTGGTCAGCTTCCACTGGGAACAAAACTCATTAAGTTCAGCGTCACAGCAGGAGGAACTTTCCCTCAGCCCTGACCATGAGCTGGGAAGCCAGTACGTTCCCCAAGTGTAGCCAAGGACATCACCTCCATCACCCCCACCAAAGACCCAGTGTTTACGCCTCGCCCTGCGCCCTGCCTGGGCAACCCAAGGTCCTGTTCTTCCACCCCTGTCACAGACCAGCGGATCCTTCAGGTCTCTGCATGTCCCCAGGACCGGTGCCACACTGGCAGCAGGGGGGGGGGATGTGATCTGTGCTTTGCTGTTGTTCTCCGCAGAAGCCCTCACCAATGTCAGAGGCAGCCAGATGCCAGGCCCTCTACCCCCAGCCCTTTGCCCCTTGGGTGCTCTGTCACACCAACAGAGAAGTTATCAACTGCTCTCTAATGCTAAGCACACCACAAGCGCTTTTGGCTCACAAACCTATTTTGCCTCACACATTTGCCCTAATTTGCGTAAAGGAGGAAATTCGGAACACTAATTAGAAAGCTAGGACTGTTTTGTTTTCTCCAGTTCACCTTATCTTCTTCATTCAGCTCCTGAAGACTCAGCTATTAAGAGAAATTAAGTAATTCATCAAGCCCTTTTCAATTACCTGCTGTTGATAACATCAGAGTACAATTAGCATCTACAAATGAACCAAGTGCCAACTGCCAAGCAGAAACAGAAGCTAATTTACAGCGTGGGGCAGCCTGCAAGAGCTGAGACTCAGGGGCTGCCAGCAAACGCGTATTTTGTTGTACCAGCACCAGCCCTGTTCTGCCCCTCCCAGCCAGCTGAGAACACATCCTCCAGGACAGCTGGAACATCAGCAGCACAAACGCCGCATCCTACCGCAGAGATGGAAATGCACCTCTGGTCACTTCCACATCTGTTGCTGTGAAGAAGCAGCAG